TAATTTTAAATTTCTGTTACTAGCACTTGATTCTCGTTTTATGAAAACATTAAATGAAAGAAAGAAAAAGAAATAACTGTCAAATGAAAAATCCTAAAAATATTTTTCATTTCATATTTTTGCATTATTTTCATATTTTCTAAGAAAAAGGAACCACATCTTGGGACTCAGTTCTGATTGTATGAAAATGTAAAAAAAAGTTAAATGAATTTGAAATATGTTTTTTCGCTTTTTCATAGAACTATTTCCTGGATCTCTCAATCATTATTTGAGTTACCGATAAAAATCGGATCTTTGAAACCAAAATGTTGATATAAAAAACCAGTAAGGAAAAGTCAAAGGTCGGGCGGTGCCGACTATATAATACCCTACAACACTATGCATATTTAGTAGAGCTCCCGTAAAAAAACAGAATTCATTTGAAGTAGATCGTACAACCTATCAACATTTGCTTAAGCCAAAGCAGTTATTGTTTGGTTTTAGAGGGAACTAATATATGGGAGGCATATCCAATTCTGAATCGATTTTCACTAAATTTGACGGAGACATTTTAATCTCTTATACCAAATAACATTGCTACAGAGCGCATGATGTCACTTCGAGAAGGATTATATTACAAAATATTTATTGGAGTCGAGATGTGCAAAATGGAAACGTACGTCCCGAAATTCCATTATTTGCACAATAAACCTGCTTGAGGATATATAATGGAGCTAAGTCCAAATCAGAGGTATGTCGGAGTTTAATCTGTTATCTGGTACTAAATATCATTGTTGTCGAATGCATGTTACGAATGTGAGGGACTATGAAAACCAAAAATATATGGGAGCTATGGCTATATCTGAACCGATATTCGCCAAAATTGATGTACTTGCTTCTAGACTGAATTCAGTCGGATGTGCGAAATCTCAGTTCATTTGTACTGATATTGACCATTTTGTGCACAATTAACCCGAAATCGGTTGAAGATATATATGGAAGCTAAGTCCAAATCTGATCCGATCTCCATAAAATTTGACAGAGGTATTTCTGGGCTGTATCTGATATCTGGTACCAAATATCATTGTTGTCGAATGCATATTACGAATGTGAGGGCCTTAAACACCATATCGGATGAAACACATATATGGGAGCTATAGCTATATCTGAACCGATTTTCCCCAAATTTTGATGTACTTGTTTCTAGACTGAATTCGGTTGGATGTGCCAAATTCAGGTCATATGGACTTATGTTGGTCATTTGGTGCACAATTAACCCGAAATATATATCAAAATCTTATCCGATTATCGCCAATTTTAATAGGGTTTGTCCTTGCGCCAAACAAATATTGTTTGGAAATTTTCATCTCAATCGGATAATAAATGCGGCCTGCATTTTGTTCACAAGAATACATGGACAGATGGACGAACGGAGTGACATGCATAAATCGACTCAGAAAGTGATTCTATGAAGATCTTCAAAAGTAACTATGGGTCTATCTCGCTTCCTTCTCCATGTTACAAACAAATGCACGAAGATAAAATACCCTTGCCACTATGTGGTGTAGGGTATAAAAAAAGAAGTTAAAGTTGAATACATAGGTATCTATCGGTAGGTTTTAGCGACTACTTTGATTTCGTCGCTAACTTTCCGAATATTTTCTTAATTAAAGAAATTATAAACATTTGAACTTTATTATCTTTTGTCGGTAACTCAAAAAATGAGTTAGAGAATTCCTCTACTTGATTCTTGCTCTATAAAAGTTTAAAACAAAAAATATTTTCTTAAAAAAATTTTTCATTTGTTATTTTTTATATCCTCTATAAAAGTCTTCATTTCTCGTTTTCATAGAACGAGAAATGAAGCCCTGAGGTTGGATTCTTGTTCTATGAAAATTTTAAATGAAAATATCTTCTTTATAATTTTTTTTTCTTTTCGTTTCTTCATAAAACAAGATTATTGGAAAAATTTGTCATATTGGTATTTTCTCTTCATTTTTTAAACATTGACTTCTCATTTTCACAAAAAATCTATACCTTGATATTTAGTTATTGGTTTAAGTAGTAATTGTTACAATGACGAAACACATTATTAACTTAATTTAAAATTACTATATCTACATATTAAATCCACTATAAAAGTAAGCAATATGCAATATTCAACGATTAAAAATTATATTTGAAATCCTTTTCAATTTACGATCATTTTTGTTCTGCATTCCCACATCAATCGACCCACATTAACGTACCCTTTGACGTTAGCAAAGAAAACATTCTTACCAAAATGTTATTTAAGTCCAAGCCCAATTGATATGCGGATGATGTACATAAAACTTTTCAACAACAAATTTTAAGTGAAAAGAAATAAATAATTTAGTGGAAAAATACCAAACAAATTGTACAAAAACAAATAACAGAGATGCTTCTAGTCGCCGGATATTGCATTAGAATATAATTTTGTAAAATTTATTATCGTCATGCATTTTGCCAAAAATTCAATTATACTAATGAATCAAAAGTATTATAATCTTTAGATTATTCCAAATGCATTAGATGAGTGTTTTAAAGAAAATGTGGTATTTATTTTTGATAATGTGATGGATTGAAATATTACTAATTTCCATCAGTTTTGTAAACATTGACCAAAAACTTAATGAATCTCAACTCAATTAAATAAATGAGACAAAAGTGTCATTATATCTATTTTTAGACAATTGTCTTTGTAAATATTATTATTTTTTTTAATTTTATTTAAATAAATGCATTAAATCCCATCATTTTTTCCAATATTCAAAATAGATTTGGTATTTAATTTATAAGGCATGGTTGTGGTTGGCTTTAAGTAATGTGATAGCCTTGATTCCAGGATTCACGGTGGGCGGTTGGGCCACATTTTTAGTACCTTTTAGAAAAAGTAATTCTAAATGAATAAAAGTATCGGAACTCAATATTCGAAAGAACTCCATTTTAATCTGCAAATTTCAGTGAAATCGGTTGGAGAATTTCATAAAATTGAGGGGCTACGGTCCATGGGTGCTTTATCATACAACATACACAATTTTCTGTAATCGCGAGTTCCAAATTTGAAACAATACCGTCTGAATACCAAATATCGGAAGGTGCGGTTATATGGGGTCAATAGTTCATTTTTACCTATCATCCTAGATACATTGCGAACTATTATAACCAAATTCAAACTTATATTTTAGGGAAATTTTTCGTGTTTAATTTTCGTCTAGTTTTGCTAATTTTTGAAGCTAAAATGCAAGATTTTTTTTTTCAATAATCTTGGGTAATTTTGTACATTGTGTTTTACATAACCAACAGTAAACGAAATTAGGCTGTTTTGGTCCATTTATTACAATGAGCCTTGAAAATTCTTATGCATGGTGATGAAATTTGCAAACGTCACAGAACATTGCACTCCGAATTGTAAGCGGTTGTGTCTATTGTGGATACTGTCAATCAGACAACATAACGTCTTGTTGCCCATGGAAAGAACCTGCTTGCGACATCATACCATAAAATGATGAAGGCTTGAACTCCATGACACATCCGCCAAGTCTTTAGATGATATCGTGAAGGCATATAAGACGTTATTAAATCGGGCGTCAACAGCGAACACACTACGAAAAAAAGAGTAACACTTCCAAGCCACAAACAGCTATAAATGAAATAAAGTCCAAAACCAAAATCCTCCTGCAATATTAGGCAGCTGCAATTCCCTAGACATACAAATTCTATTCTGCCACAACTTCTTTCTGGATGTGGTAACGCCTTCTACGCCGGTAGACCTAACGCACATCTTGGTCAATTCGTGTTACGAACTCCAAAAACCTAATTTGAGATAATTCCATTGGCAAAATGTAGTTAAAAATCCTCAAAATACCGAATATTTTCATCACGAACTGCAAATACCAAATTTGAAACAATTCCAGTGAAAAGTGTGACACAAATCATAAAATACCGAATATCTTGGAGTACAGTTATATGGGGGCTATACGAAAACGTTGACTTCTATAATCATTTATTTGCCACGAAAAGCGGCGCCTATTACGAACTCCAAATACCAAAATTGAGATAATTCTCTTGAAAAATGAAACTAAAGTAATGAAAGTACCGAATATTGGAAGGTAGAAGGTAGGTGGAAGGTTTAAATATGTGACACATATTATCAAAATTCCGTATATCTGGAGGTAGAGTTATGCAAGGACTATATCAAAACTTGGATCTATATAGGTAATTCTACGCCAGGATGTTTCCAACATACTGGAAACACAAACTGCAAATTTAGAGCAAATTCGGGTTAATATTGTGACTAAAAGAACCAAAAGACTATAAATCTTACTGTACAGTTATATTTGAGTAAAATTTTATCAACCTCTGACTGTACAATTTTATCAGGGCTATACCAAAACGTGAACCCCCATGGTCCGTTTTCAATACAAAAAAATCTACGGTCCTAGAATACATTTGAGTAAAATTCTATCAACCTACTTCATTTCGTTCGGAAACTAGAATGATTTCCGCAGACAGACAGACGGACTGTCGGACATCGCTAATTACATAGATTTTTACGACATAGAATTTTATACTAATCAAGTTTCAAGTTTGTCGGGTCTAAAATGTATATTTCGAGGTGTCACAAATGGAATTATAAACTAAGTATGTAGGGTATATACTATGATGAATAATATGAAAAAGTGGTAATACAAGACCTGGGAAAATGTCACAAGATCTTTAAAATCCGTCCATAATATCAATATTTAGGTGAATTTTCAAAGCTTTGTTTAAAGTCTCTGTTTAGTCGGACATTACTAAATCGTTATATAACGTGAGTGGTTTATGAGATGTCCACATATATTTGCGTACAAACATTTCCCTCAATCTTATGGTGGAGGTTATACACCCACCATATCAATTGTATACATATCGTAGAACTACAATTATTTACAATTTGTATTTACTATGTCTGAATTTTATTTTAATCAATTTTCTTTTCTCCAATTTTTTCATTTTAGAACTGCTGGTACAGTTGGTGCTGTTGTAACATGTCCCCTAGAAGTTGTCAAAACCCGTCTACAGAGTTCAACAGCATTCTTAACACCGCCACGGATAGAACACAACTCAACGACAAATGCATCCTCCGAATTGCTGCGACCTGAACAAAGACGTAAACTTAGTACAACAATATTACGTAACAGGTCCCAACCACAGGTGATTGGGGGTGTTCGTAGGGTAGTACCAACACAATATTACATTATATTATATTATTACTATCAAATACATCTTAACTACTACCTTCATATTCTTGACAATAACTATCTATCTCTCTTTATCTTATGGCTCTGAACTTCCCTTTTTAAAAACTATTCTGATTTACTCTTTTTTTTTACATCTCTTATCTAAAACTGAATTTTATTTTTAAGCATTTGATTAATGTTGTATTTTATTATTTTTTAATTGTTATAGATAATGGCCATATCACACTGCGGCATCTCCTCAACATCCACCAAAAGTATGAGCATAATACAGTGTCTGAGGTAGGTCATGGTATTGAACGAAAGTAAAAAGGAAAAACAACATCTACAATGTCTGGTATTTAATTCCCAAACCAATAAGACCAATTATACAATGGTCTCAAGCGTAATAACCACCATTGCTCCATGAGGTGACAGTGGCTATTGTGGTCTGTGGTTTATGCCGTTGAGGCATATTGTAAGACATTTCCCTCGCATATTGTTACTAATTTCTCTATACATCTCGCATCACTTTTCAGACACATAGTACAAAATGAGGGACCTAGAGCATTATTCAAAGGTTTGGGACCGAATCTCGTTGGCGTGGCGCCGTCACGTGCAATTTATTTTTGCACATATTCTGAAACCAAAAATTTCCTTAATAAGTTAGGGTAAGTATGGCTTGGTATCCTTGGAATTTCTCTAATCGATTTACGTGACCATTCATTTCTCATTTCTTTATCCTATTGCTGTATTTTTAGATTAGTACAACCAGATTCTCCACAAGTTCATATTATGAGTGCAGCTAGTGCCGGTTTTGTTTCCTCCACCTTAACCAATCCAATTTGGTTTGTAAAAACACGTTTACAATTGGACTATAATTCAAAAGTGAAAATGACCGTCAGACAGTGCATAGAACGTGTTTATGCCAGTGGTGGCATAGCAGCCTTCTACAAGGGTATTACGGCGAGCTATTTTGGCATCTGTGAAACAATGATACACTTTGTTATCTATGAATTCATCAAATCCAAATTGGTGAGTATTGTTATATTAATATACCAGTAATGAGAACATTTAAATTTTGGACATATATTTTTTTGTAGATTGAACGACAAAATGAACGTACACCAGATACCACAAAATCCTCAAGAGATTTTCTAGAATTCATGATGGCTGGTGCCGTATCAAAGACTGTTGCCTCCTGTATTGCTTATCCTCATGAAGTAGCACGAACAAGACTGCGCGAAGAAGGCAATAAATACAACACATTTTGGCAAACATTGCATACTGTGTGGAAGGAAGAGGGTAGACCTGGTTTATATAGGTGAGTGGAAACAAGTAAAAGCGGCATAACTTTGAATAAGCGCTCATAACTTAAGGACATGTGACAGATGTAGTGACTCTGTTACATTCGAATCTAAGTAGTGTGGTGCTTAGGAATCAAAATATCAAAACAACTGTTCGAAACTGTTGTTTATCCTACAATAACACTGTGCGACACAAACAAATAACGACTAGGAAAATCGAATAGATTACGAAAATGGAACTAAAAATATTAAACATGTGTATCGTCTTTTTGACGTTCGAATTTTTTGTAAAACCAAATCGAGTCATTAAAGTTGTCTATCAGGTAATTTATTGCAAATTTTCAAAAACTCCATTAGGGTATGATCGTAGCAGATCAATATGATTATTAAAATTGTTTATCATAAAATTCTACTTTGGGTCTCACAACCAAAACTCCAAATCTTACGTAAACGTCAAAAATTGGTAAAAAAAAAACACGATATAGGGTTTAAGTTATAGTCTATCTAGAGTTTATGCAAAATTGTTCCACAAAACATCATTTTACGGAAATGACATTAAAGACAAAAATATTCTGTATAAAATTGCACTATAAATCACCCAAGACATAAAATCCATATCAACAAAGTATCCGTATCACACAGACAAAAATACTTCCTTATTTTTTGCTAAGAATTGAGTGGTAATTTTTGACTTGATACCTGAAAGTAATATAATAATTTCTATTAGTGATTTGACGCCTTTAGACTATTTATTGTGAGCCTATGTTAAATCTCATGTTTATAGAGACGAGATGGTTTTCTATTATTTCACAGAAGTAATCCTTCATTTTCCTTTACGGCTAGTGCATACAGGGTGAGATAAAAAAACTGCAACAAAGTCAAACGCCATAATTTTTACATTTTTTTTAAATTGTATTGAATGAAATAACATCAATAAGAAATAGCAATATATAGTTTAGATTTGTTCGAATTGGTCACCTTTGGTACGAATTATGACCTTCAAACGGCAATGAAACCGTCACACGCTGCCCGAATGTTGCTCTGCTGTATTTTGGCCCATTCCCGGCGAAGCGCATGCTTGAGGTGATCGACACTTTGGTATTTTTAGTGCGAACCTTGGTTTCCCAAATACTCCAGACGCAATAGTCGAACGGAGTGGTATCCGGAGATTTTGGTGGCCATTGTGCGCTGGAAATGAAGCGGGGAACCTCATTTTGTAACCATTCTTGGGTGGCGCGTGTTGAGTGCGATGGTGTTGAGTCCTGTTGGAATGTCCAAGGTCTGCGGTATTAAAGCCCAAGGCTTTAATACACCCTCCAGAATATTTTCACGATAATATTCGGCCTTTATTCTGATGTCACGGTCGATTAATACGAGCGACCATCGACTATTATGACGGCCCACACCATCACCATGGCCGCCGCTTGAGTTCAGGTGGCCAACCGAAGGTGCACATTTTTTGCTGACCTCTTTGGCAAGTAAACTCGATCATATTGTTTGTTTACAAACTGCCAACCAAAAAATTCGGCAGTTCACCACTTTCGGCCAAGCGAAGCAACTCTTCAGCTTTTTTAAGTCTCTTTCCGTTTTCTTTCTTCTTTCCGTTGCGGTATAAGTTCTTACACTTTTTGGAATTTCAATAGCTCATTTTTCAATATTTGCCGAATGGAATATTGCGATATGTTCAGCTTACGAGCCATTTTTCGGCCATTTCGATCAAGTCGCTTCTTTACTTTTCGAACCATTTCTGCTACGACGTCGGGCTACGCTACCAGTATCACGGTAACGGGCATTGGTACGAGACACAAAAGATGTATTCACATTTAAATGCTAGAGTGCTCTAACGATAGCCACTTGTGGTTTTCCAGCCAACTATAAAGAAATCACACTATCACTCTTGAGTTCCACAACGAATAACTTTTTTCTGGAAAAAAAAACTTTTTTCTTGTAAACAATATAATGAGCTGTCACTGCATTAATTTTAACAGCTGTCAGACGAGTGGCTTAGAAATGATAGCATTCTGAAGTTGGTTGCAGTTTTTTTATCTCACCCTGTAGTTCTTATTATTATTACAGCCACAAAGTTTTTACAAAAGGTGATAAAGTGACAATCCTTCCTTGGTTGAATAGAAATTTGATCATAACGGTTTTAATGGGGGACATTATTATATGGCTTAGACAATATATTTATTTTTTTTTTATTGTATTTATTGTAAGTAACCAACTTTCCTTTTTTTTTTCCTTTACAGAGGCTTAGCTACACAACTTGTGAGACAAATACCAAATACCGCTATACTGATGGCGACATATGAAGCTGTGGTTTATGTATTAACGCGACGTTTTAATAGTAAAAGTAATGAATTCTATGACTTTTAAGAAGGTTTATAATTAAGTCAACAACTCCCTACATCTTCCCCCTTCTTCGACCTAGCCGCCCCTTCTTAATACTGTAGTTAGGTTTATATAGTTATAGTTAACTAAACAAAACCGCAAAACAAATTGTTTATGTTTTAATTTTTTGTGTGTTTTCAAAAACAAACTTCTAAGGCCTGTTTTTAGAAGCTAAGCTGGTGTTTGTTCCGTATGGAAAATCCACACTGGCAAACAAACACTTTGAAAAAACAAAACATTTTAATAACAATTTTTTCGGCCTAATTTTAGGCCTTTCGAAACCAAAAAATTGAAACACCATTAAAAATTAAAACCCCCCTACCTTGTAAAAAATGAAAAATGAGCGCTTTGTAGTTTTAACTAAAACAAAGTTGCTATGCAACTTTAAAATTAAAAAAAATAAAACAATAAATTATTTATTATAAAAATTTTTGGAAAATTAAAAATTGTTAATTTCTAAACAAAGAAGATACTGAACAAAAAAAAAACAGAATATATACCAACGAAAATTATTATAAAAATTGAAAGATATTTGATTTAGGGCAGCACAAAACTAAATGCTTTTTTATGAACAACCAAAACAAAAACCAACACCAGCCTAAACGCACGAATTAAATTCTAAGCTCAAATCAAAGAAAAATCATTTTATTTTAGTTTCTCATAACATCCCACATTGAATTTGCGGACATCATTAAATGCGCTCTTAAAAAACAAATCAAATTTGAACATTTTGTGATTTTATCGATCTTTAGTCCTTATTATTTTTTGTTTTTATTATTCATTATTTCTAAATATAATGCATACAAACAACCTGTTATACATACTGTTACAATAAAATTTAAAATAAAAACAAAGTCTATGAACTTTTTGAATAAGCTTTTAATTTATAGAATAAACATTTTGATTTTTATTTACAAGAAAACTATGCATGTAGAAAAGGTTCCCAAGATTAAAATTTAAAAAAATATAACTGTTTGAATATCCTTGCATAGTCTTGTTTGTTATCTCTAAAATATGAATTTGGAAAAAAACTTTTTTCTATATAGCATAAAGTTCCTTTAACTTTAAAACATGTGCGCATTGATGCATATTTTAAGATGGATGATTGATATTTAACAATTTTGGGTATTAAAACTAAAAATTGCTTCAGAAACTACCTTTATGGACTTCTTTGATATATATTACACTACTTTCAAATATATCTTAACAAAAAAATAACAATATGTATTTCGAGGCTGTTTGCGTCCAAAAAACAACAACATCCAATATTTCAGTCATTAACTTTCATTAGGCTTTAGTTTTGATTTAAGCGTTTCGAAGAAAATAATTCATTTGTGTGTCATTATTCTATCCTATAGAAAACGAATATTGAAAATACGTTATGCTTTATGTAGATCATAGGCTTTTTGTTTATTTTACTTTTTCATTATAATAATTAGTTGATATGTTGTTAAGTTAATTTACGTATATACTCTGTTTCCATACTCCTTAATTATCATCTACACATATTGAACTTGTTTTGTTAAGGGAATAAACAATAAAAATCAAAACTGAAAAGAAATATATATTTGTTTGTTCTTTTTCTTTATTATTTCTAAAGAATTGTAAAAAATGTTAATATTATTATTATTTAATATTGTGAATTAAAAACATTGTTCACAAACCTTTGTCAAAATATTTTCACACGAATAAAGGTGAAAAAATAAAATACATATTATTAAAAAATACATATTAGTTTTTTTGTATTAATTAACTCCGTAGAAATAGTACAAGTAAGAAAATAATTCATTAAATTTCATTCAATTCAAAAAATAATATAGTTAGAGCAAAGTTTTGGAATGGACAATATGAGATATATAAAAACCGTTTTTTGCTGTTATAGCAGTAGTAGTTATAGCCAGGTATTACTCGAATCCTTAAGTTAAACTCGGCTGTAGTGGGAACAAATATAGTCCGTCTTGATATGTCATTGACATCTATAATCCTGAAGTATCGCTGACATCTCTAACCATCAAAGTAGGGTAATCGACATGAAGGCATTTAGAAAAACAAATTTACTAAGGAACAATTCCATTGAATTGAAAAAAGCTCAAATTGGTAAGGAAGTGCAATATAATTGTCCTCATGGTTAAAAATTGAAATCCAACTTTTGAGCAAATCGCAATCCCTGAAAATCACAACTACTATGGATGAAAAAATTATGACTAATTCAACCCAGTGCTCTTTGAAACGGTTTTCAAGTCGTGTTCAATATTCTTGTCCGCACCTCTCTTACCTAACTATCTTACCAAAGTGCGGGGTTGAAGCTAGTACATTTCTATATTTTTGGTTGAAATACTGGATTAGTATTGGGTTCGTGCTACAGGCCAGAGTAGAAATAGGATTATTATGATCGAACAGGGAAGTCTTATTTCCTCTTTACTGAAACGAGAACCCCACAGTAAAACTATAGGAACTAAGTTCACAGGTGGAAGGACCTTATCGGAGCTTGCGGATCACTATAGGCCCAAAAACACAATATTTCAACAATCTAAAATTATTGTCTAGTCATCGTGTATCAGCAAATGCCTACTTGAAGAAGTTGACATTTAATGTATTAGGTATGAAGATGGCATTTTTACCAGTCAAATTTATAAAGGGAAAGACAATGTGAACATGGAAAAGACACTGAAACGATTGAATTGTATCTATATATATCGTTCCTCAACCACAGAGACCCCGTACGTGATCAATAAAAAATTTAATATAATAATGTCCGCCAGTCTATCTATTGAAATCAAGATACAGCCCATATTATTTGACGTAGAGCTTTGGCATATAAGTCTGCATAGTGTCTAGAATGATTAATGCTGTAAATGAGCTATATCGGCCCACGTTTTCCTCTAGCCCCATACGACCGTACCTCTCGATATTCAGTATTCTTATGATATTAGCCGCATTACCAGATGGAATTGTTTAAAATCTGGTACTTAAAGTTTGTATTGGTTTCTACCAGGTTTCCTTAAAGCCACCATGTAACGCAACCTTCGAATATTTGGTATTTTGACGATGTACAGATTCCCACAAGGACGAAGGAGGTGTATTTTGGATTCTAAAGTACGACGTAATTTAAGCAAAATTTTCGAAAGGATTTTCGGTCAAAAGATACCAACCTCTGAATACTTCGACATATTTCGTTGACATTTACAGAATGTATACTGAATCTCGATACTTTTGTTTTTAAAGGTTTATTTTTTACCTCATGGTAGATGGTATTAAGAGTTCAGTCAGGTCAGTAATTTAATTTTACTTGTTTACATTGGTCTGCATAACTTCTAAACGACAATCCACTACATCACATAGTGGTAAGGGTATTATGTTTTTGTGCATTTGTTTCTAACATGAAGAAGGAAACGAGATGGACCCATAGTTACTTTTGAGGATCTTCATAGAATCACTTTGTGAGTCGATTTATGCATGTCAGTCCGTCTGTCAAAATCCAGGTCGCATTTATTATCCGACTGAGATGAAATTTTCCAAACAATGTTTGTTTGGCCCAAGGACAAACCCTTTTGAAATTGCTGAGAATCCGTTCAAATTTGGATATAGCTCCCATATATATCTTCAACCGATTTCGGATTAATTGTGTGCCAAATGGCAAATATCATTCTAAATGACCTGTACAAAAGCCTCCGTCAAATTTGTTGAAAATCAATTCAGAGTTGGATATAGTCCGAAATACGCATTAAAATAAGGTTCATAGTTGGTATGATCTACTTCACATTAATTCCCAACATAAACTTTTTTGTTACGGGACCTCTACTAAAGTTACATGGTGGTGTAGGGTATCATATAGCCGGCCCCGACCGACATTTGACATTTCGTCACTTGTTTTCTTTAAATACCGTCTCATTCTTTTTTCAAATATTCTATCTAGGAATGTCCCTACTTGTCAAGCATCCCGGTGAAAATCGTTCTGTTACGGCAAACCAATTATATCGGTGGTAATATATTAGGTTTTAAAGATGATGTTATACTGGGATGTTGCTAGTGTTGTTTTGCTGATATAGACTCCTCGCTATATAGAAGTTTTACATTTTTGACAATAAACATTAACAACGGCTCAAAATGCTATTTTAAGCTAAGAATTTCTACCACCTGGAAACAGTCGTTACTTGGGTAGCGGGCCACTATACAAAGGGACTCAAACTGTCAAATTACAGTCAATTCGGTTGAAACCCATAAGAAGCATTCACAATACGGACGACTTACTTGCTGATATTTTTACTAGTTTCCCCTTTGCGTTCTTTCTGGGTAAATCGCTTATTCAGAGCGATTTTTATCTACATATTATCTATAATGAAATTCGATTTAATACATTAAAAAAAATCAAACAGGTTTTTTTTAGATTTATGTAACAATAATATTTAATATTTAACAATAAGTATAAATCTAAACTTCATCTACCAAACGAAAACGTTGATGTTGTTTTTCAGGCACCACATTGAAGAATTTCTTATGAATAGGCTGACCTTCGCGACCAGCATAATGACGCTGCACCCACGTATGATCCCAGTTGGGATCTAATGGTTCACATGTAACGTAAACCTTACCATGATCCATTGCAAACAGAGTACCATTACGGCCGAAACCAACCTAAATAAGCAACAGTATCATATTATTAGTAGTAAGTCGTACAGAATAATCAATTTAAAAAACAAACATTTAAACCAGGATGAAATCTTGGTGTCAACTGTGTGGCCAATAATGTTCCCTGCGATACCCAATGTCCATCTTGCACACGCCATCCACGATGCTTTGGTCTGGGGTGGCCTTTCTTGTTACGAGTACTGCCACCGGTCTTCTTACTGGCGTTACGTATGGTGGCTAAGTAAAAATAAACATTTAATTTAAAGTACATTTAATGAATTAAAAACATTGATATTTACTTAGTAAAGGTTGCTCCGCCTTAAGGCAACCCAGTGAGAGTTTTTGCATTATTGTAAAGGACATGGTTTTGCCGAAATGTGTGTTTCCTTTATGCAAAATAAAATATTAGGAATTCTTCGAAATATCTGTGCACACAATTAATTAATGTCACGGCGATAACATTTTTATAGTGTTGCCGTATCTTTTAATGGCAATGACGTCCATACAAGGCAAGGGAACATTTAACAAGGTGGTTACACAATGAACTTCAAAAAAAAAATTAGGGTAATTCTAAACAAATATATATAAATGTAATTATGAATAAAAATGTGCTCAAATTTGAGTGTATTGTTGAAAAATGTACATAGTTTTATATTCTTGACATTTTTAAATTTTATTTTATAATTTTTCAGTAAATTTTTAATTTATTAGGGTTGTCATGAGCTGCTCAACTCCTAACGAAATTAAATAAAATATACCAAATAATGGTTATGGAACACACTGACATATCAAAGCTTTTCAGAAATAGGCGAGAGCTTTCAAAATTTTGATAAAAACCAAAAGAAGAGAAATAATGCGTTTGAATACGAACGATTCGAGTGAAAGTAACTTATTTTTACAAAAACAGGCCGTCATTCTTTAAAACGTTGTAAATATTAATTTTAAGTTGTAATATGACACTTAATTTCCAATTTTTATTTGAACTCCGTTTCAATACCCTAAAAATTAGCAATAGCTCTGGATGATTCTAATAAATTTATAATTTATATCATAAAGGGGAAATCGGTTATCGTAGTATTTTTTTTACATTCTTGCAGTTCTGGAACATACCAAATACCATGGTACAATGAAAAGCTGATTACATTTTTTCTAAGTGTGCCGGATTTTCTGCCAATTTTGTGTTTGTATTTATTGTTTTACAAAATATAAACAAAATAATTTTGAATAATTCTAGCAGAAAGCGGGCATGGATCATATTTTTGAGAGAAAATCCAGGCATTTCATTCATCATTCCCGCTTTTTAACACATTTTCCATATAATTTTGAATAAATCTGACAAAAAGCGGGCATGGCCTCAGAGGTGTATTTCTGTACTTTTACAAAGCTGTTTTACCTCCTTATTGTTCCATGCCAAAGAGTAGCAGACAAATGATCATAAAGAAAAAACGGTTATCCTAGCATTTTGGTGAGAATAAAGTTATTCGAGATGGAATTCAAGAATGATAGTGTGATTTCTGTATATTTGGCTGGAAAACCACAAGTCCACCGCAACAGAAAGAAAATAGACTCAAAAGAGCGAAAGAGTTGCTTCGCCTGACCGAAAGTGGTAAACTGCTGAATTTGGTTTTCTCCGATGAGAAAACATTCGTTGTCCAGCAGTTTGTAAACAAGTGATCGTGTTTACTTGCCAAAGAGGTCAGCTGAAAATGTGCACCTTCGGTTGGCCACCAGAACTCAAGCGCCGGCCATGGTGTGGAGCCGCTATAACAGCCGATGGTCGCTCTCCGCTCGTATTGATCGACCCTGGCACCAGAATAAATGCCGAATGTAATCGCAAACATATTCTGGAGGGTGTATTAAAGCCTTGGGCACGCAAACATTTTGGCCGCAGACCTTGGACTTTCCAACAGGACTCAGCACCATTGCACTCAGCACGCGCCACCCAAGAATGGTTACAAAATGAGGTTCCTCGCTTCATTTCCAGCGCACAATGACCACCAAAATTTCCGGATACCAATCCGATGGACTATTGTCTGGAGTATTTTGGAAAGCAAGGTTGACACTAAAATACCATAGTGTCGATCACCTCAAGCAAGCGCTTCGCCGGGAATGGGCCAAAATACCGCAGAGCAACATTCGGGCAGCGTGTGATGGTTTCATTGACAGTTTTTTTTATCTCACCCTATATTCTTACAAAATAGTAACCATGGCACAATTACAGAAGGTCGAAAAAAACTACGCCCTAAATACAATTTTTTGGTTCCGTTATTCTGTCAGATCACATACACCTTTTGTATAAGTGTGTGTATTGCCGTGAATTAAAAATACAATAATTTAAAATTATTCCAAATTCGGTTGCAAAATAAATGCATACTTTCGATTTTAATGGGCAATACATTGTACAATGTTGGAATAAAATTGAATTGTGGAATAACCCCAAAATTCCGTTCTTGTTTTGCGGGTTTCCCTTATTGTTGCCCATATTCGACGGACCCATGACTCTTTGGGCCCATTCCAATCGACGAGGCTTGTCCGCAGGCAACATTCTTTGCGTCAATTGAATTTTGTACGGGAACAAATGCAAATCAATGCGAATAATCCGTTGTAAAGTGGACCGAGCTATGCCCAACTGCTGAGAACGGCGTTTTTGGGCTCGTACGGCAGCGATATTCTCGGCCGATCGCCTTGTTCGACTTTTATATGGCCTCTTCGGATTAGAAAGAGCCTTACCAGTCGAAAATTTTTCGTATAAACGTTTAATGGTGTTCTTAGAAGGCGCACTTCTCACATTTTTTAATGTTTTAAAAGCACGTTGAGTTTTCACAATTGACTTCTTCTGTTGAATGTAAATTTCAACTATTTCGCGTGGCGTGTATTGGTTCATGGTAAAAATCTGCTTGGACTGACGCTTCAAACGCGGTATGTCATTAAGCGATGTGACATCTCTGTCAAAAGTTATGGCGTTGCCAGATGGGTCCGTCGAATATGGGCAACCCAGTATAAGAATTTTGTTAAAAAATAAACAAAACCAACTATTGCTTATTTAAAAGTATATTTGAGACTATGGCCCAATTATAAGGTCGACAAGTAAGACCAGCTACCTACCTACATTTTCTGTCGACATGATTTGAATTCGCCTGACAACTTTAATAAATGTCAATAAAACTAATCCTTTATTTTTTTTTTGTCAAACAATTTTTATTTGAAACAAAAACAAAACAATTGGGAATAAAAGAAATGAGTGGTCTTTGTTTTTACTTCGTAAAGAGCTGCTTGACAAGGTGAGGACCCCAGGTACAAGAAGCTAACAAAATCTATACACAACGTTATTTTAATTAACGATTTCAATCTTTGTATAGACAGAAAACCACCATTCGATATATGTTCTGAAGACACGACTGAATCTAACACCAAAGGATTCAAGGAAAAAGTTCAAAACCCCCCATACCTCCCATGTTTACAAACTTCTAGTGGTCACATGTGAGACACATTTCTAGAGCGCTAAGATGGCTACATGCTTGATTAAAAATACCACACTTTTTTCTTGGATGTGAATCTGAAAAACCGACTACCGCTAACTCAGGACAAACGGAAACTCCCAAAGCGTAAAACAATGTCTTCCTGTAACAATTTATGGTTTTAATTTTCATTAGAATCTTAACAATTTACAAAGAAAGATAAGCCCAGTTGTTTTTTTTTTTTTTCATTTCAATTCAATTCACTGTCAAAATTGACAAATTGGAAATTCGCTGCACTGTTATTGTGTCGAGGCGAAATACTTTCTTTTTCACTGTAATTACACATTTTGACAACATATGTAGATGAAGAGTTGTATTTAATTGGGAATTCGCTTTCTGGTCGACCTTATAATTGGGCCCAAGGTAGATCTACTAGGTATTCGCATCACCCCAGCTGACGGCACCTTTAAATGCCAAAACAAGTGGTTGTAATTCTGAATTCGCCTTAAATAAATGCAACGCAAAAACAAAGTTTGTTTATGCCAAGGTAGATGTACTAGGTAATCGCATCAGCCCAGCTGACGGCACCATTAAATGTCAAAACAAATTGTTGTAATGATGAATTCGCCCTAAATGAATGCAACAACAAATTTGTTTATGTTTTCTTCCCTAAATAATTTAATAATTAATTTAAGAGCAAGTTTAGAGTGAAACCAGTAAAAAAATTAAAAGAAAATGAAAAAGTGCTCGATTTGCAATAAGAAATATTGTGATGGAAATTTAACACTATTTAGTGTCCCTAAAGACAAAGGAAGGAGGTTAGAATGGAGTGCAGCTTGAGGAATTAAGTTAGCCCCAACATCTATGATTTGTATGGACCATTTTAATCCAAAGCACATCACGGGAAGTAGTGCAAGAATTCGGCTCCAATGAATTCTATCCAATTTTTTGCGATTCTGTTCCTGGATATTATGTTGTTGGCTATTGGCCAAATTATTGAGATTTTGATATTCATATCCTGCTGTTGCTGCTATTGAATATGTGGTGAATGTATGGCCATATGCTTCGGAGTGTTGGTACCCTGATTTTGCATAGAACGATATTGGTGCTATGTTTTTTTTTTTTTTTTTCTTTAAACCATTTTTTCTATATTTTCTATTGAATATAAATTGCGACGTTCGTTTACGACGAGAGGCACACAAAATAAAATGTAAACAAACACCTCGTTTCTGATTGGTTGAAACAAATTTGCCGCAACCTTTAAATGTCATGGCGAATCTATGTTTTTCGCCTTAGATGCCAATTTTGACATTTGAGGGGACCACAAAAGTTACTTTGTTGTAGCAATTCGCCGATGCGGTTACCTGTTAGATCTACCTTGGTTTATGCCTTCTTCACTAAAAATATTTTTTTCTGATATTTCAAAAGTTTAGAGCAAGTTTAGAGTGAATTATCAGCAAAAAAATTAAAAAGAAAATGAAAAAGTGTTCCATTTGCAATAAGAAGTCACGAGAGCTGTGACTCAGTTGGTATTATCCAAACTCCTACTAGCCTCAGCTCTCTGTGGTCTGTGAAAATTCTTTGTATGCTTTTGGGAATTTGCATCGGCTCTGCTACCAAGAGGGCTTTTAGTGGTGGCGGTGTAACCTCCCGTTACCAACAATAGCTGATATATTAGTGGTATTTGTCGATGACGTAGAAGATATTACAGTTGTAGGGGTTTTGAAAACATTTCGGAGGCTTACTATCAACTTGGGGCTGTTACAATGGTCCCTGAGAGTCGCATTATTATGCTAGGAACACAATTGGAGCGAACGACGAATTTTTTCGCGGCGTATGTTCGTCGTCAAAAATAAAAACCATGTGTGTATATGGAAGTGCACACAATCACGGCGCCGGCGAAAATTTCGTCGGTCGCCGCGAACTCAATTAGCTTTATTTCTATTTCATACGCCGGCGAACGGCGACAAAACAGTACAAGGTGGCCATACTTGTACGAATTTTATGTGTTTTAGTAAATAAAGTTACTTTTTACTTAAAAATTTGTTATGGTCACTCTACTATCTGTTATTCGTATAAAAAAACATAAATAATTTGTTTATTTATTTGTGCACTTGCGTCTGAGTGAAGATGGATATGAGTGAATTTATAATAGAGAAGATGGACATAACTGAAATTATAAAGAATTATGAGTTCTTGTATAATTTTCATTGTAGTCAACAAATGAGCAAAAAGTAAACAACTTCATCAGCTGTTTTATAATTTCGTCGGTATTGTGTTCCATACGACGAATTTTCGCGGCTCATTTTGTCGCCGCGTAGGGCGAAATTCGTCGTTCGCTCCAATTGTGTTCCTAGCATTACTTGTCTTAATTTCCACACACAACATAAAATGGAAACAAACACCTCGTTTCTGATTGGTTGAAACGAATTTGCCGCAAACTTTAAATGTCATGGTGAATGCATGTTTTTCGCCTTAGATGCCAATTTTGACATTTGTGGTACCACAAAAGTTGCTTTGTTGTAACAATTCGCCGATGCGGTTACCTGTTAAATCTACCTTGTGTTGAACTAAATTGGATATGTGGCCAATTGCCCTTTAAAAATAGAATTGCCAGCACCAAATAATTAGTGTTGGGAAATTTTTTTTTAGTTTATTGCAAGGCAGATCTACCTTGGTTTATTGTTTTCGGCCATATACATTTGCTCATTTTTGTAATCATGGACGCTGCACAATCAACATCACCGGAGTTATCATCCAACTCCCCTGAACCCAAACCATCCACTGTTCCAACTCAGCTATTGAGAGAAAAGATACGCGAATATACCAAAAAACATCGGGAAGCAATTCGCGCCGAAGTTTCAGACTCCTTGAGATTTCAGTTGGGCGAGATTAAAGAACGTATCCAAGAGTTGGACAATGTCACTGAGAAAGATGTTGCTGGTCTAGCTGCTCGCATAAAACGCAGAAAGCATGCCACAATCGAAGATATGTACAGACTATCTCATGCATTTCTACAGAATGTGGCCAATATACAAGCATTTAATAAAATTCCCGGTTCCATGCAGGTTCTGATCAAAGAACTTACTGGAAATGACTCGGAAAGACAAATGTCAGCTGCAGAGTGTCTGTGTAATCTTTCACTTGGCGAAGGACCGGTATGCGAGAAAATTGCATCGGCTGCGGGAAGTTATCTGGTAACCTATTTACATAGCACAGAATCTCAGTTGGTGCGTCTATGTTTGTGGATAATAGCGAATATTTTGGCAACAGGTCAAAAGTGTGCTTCCGTTCTGATGAAAATGCAATTGTTGCCACAATTATGGAAAATGTACTGTGATGATGAGATTGCAGATCCTCTGTTAGATTATAGAGAAGATGCTGCAATTTGTTTGCAACTTATGTCGTTGAACGCTCCAAATCTTATGACCCAAGAAGATCGCAACTTTGTACTGCAACAGATGGCCGATAAAAATCCAACTTGTGTGGCTGCTGAATATCACCTTTTCATCGTATTTCATATCCTTTTTACAGAACCGCATATAATTTCCACATTATATCCACCTGACGCTTTATATCTCCTGAACTTTTCCTTAATTAATTTAAACAATACCAACAATTTTCTCACCCAGCCACAACGCCTGAAGATCTTATATTCAATACGCGTTTTGGGTAATCTCTTAGTTGTCCAGCCCTTAATTTATTCAACATTATTATTACAAGTATCTTGTGTTTGGAAATCCAGCATCACTGCATTGTTAAATAAGCTGTTTGCATTCCATAATGAACATTTGTCTCAAGAGGCATTGTGGCTATTGAAAATCATTCTACATTTGGAAGAAGAAAATGCCTTTATGCAACCAAATATATTGGAAAGCATTCATATTTTTGAAGAGTGTATGCCATTTGATGATAAACCTATTGAAGAGGAGGCAGCGGCGGCAATGGCGGTTTAAATATTATGTTAATTGTTATTTCGTTTTAGATTTTTTGTATATACCTATGGTTAAAAAATAATTTATGAATTTGTTTGAAACAGAACTGAAGTTTGTATAAATCTACAAAATTTAAGTGAATAAATGAAAAATGATTTTTAATTGTAGTCTATAAATCTGTTGCAGAAGGGGAACTGAGAGCAGTAATCACATTCGGCAAATATTTTTCAGTACCAATTTAGAACATACCTGTCGACTAGATAATCATTTGGCAAATAAGTTGTGTATCAGACTTTCTGCATTCTTGATTCAATAAGATGCTTAAAACTTGAGATACGATTTTTAACGCTCCCAATTTAAAACACTTGTTGCATACTTATGTGCCCGCGCCCATACACCCACAATGTATCATGTTTTAAACCTCAAACAAAAGATAAATGCAACAATCAACCACTCGGCCATGGCCCAAACATTTTCAAAAAAAAATATAACTAGAACGTAATATCTTATTGTTTTTGCAAATCAATACAATATCCAATAAAAAAAACTGGTTTTATTCAATAACTTTATTGTTTTTTAAAATTCGACTGTTATATCTTACTAAAAATAAATGCATTCTTCCGCGAGACTTGACCCATAAGCAGCATCGATTTTCAGACAAGGATTCCCCAACTATGATCACCTATAAGCAAAAGAAAACATAATTAGTTTCTTTTTCAGTGCACTTATAAATAGAAGACATTTTTAAAAAAAGAGAAATGAATAATCTGAAAGGCTTTCGCTACATGGGAAAAGCAATTGTACGGTCGCATTCAGTCCGCCCGACGCCTTGTGGAATATCTTCATGCTGTAATTTTTCTCTTTTTTATGTATAAAATCTCAATTATTTCTCAACTTACCAAGACGATTCCATGTTCCTCAGTTGCTCGCCGCCTTATGACATCCACACCTTATTCTCCTTAAGACACATCCAGAACCTAAGATTTAATTCGGACCAAAATATACAAATATGCACAACACGCTCGTTGTTTAATTGTTAAAATGCTTTCTAAATCCTTGTAATTTACGGAAAAGCAAAACGTCTTTAAACAAACTTTTTAAGCAAGATATATCAAAAAATATTAACATACATAAATTATTAAATCAACGAGTGTGTTATGATATATTCATATATGTCGACATAATAAGTATTTAAAACAGCAAATCACAATTCATGTTAAGACAGTTTTTTTTTATTAAAAAACAAATACATTTTAGATGGTCGAATGTATTTCAAGTACTTAAGAGGTAAAAGTTGTGCTGCAAATAGAAGAATGTAAACAATAAAACTATTAGTAACCAGAATTGATTTTGCACTTTAAACATTATAAACTTTTAATATAAAACTCAGTTCAGTTATGGTAAAAACTAGAATCATTCAGCAAGGGTCTGACGCGACTAGTATCAATCGTCACTGTTTATAAACACTTACTTTTGCCTGCAAGATAGTCAAAAATATTTACCTTAATTTAAGCGACCAACAAACAGGCACCACCGGCCTTCTTGATTTTGTTTTCAGCCTTCTTGGTGAAGTATTTGGCCTTAACGATGACGGGCAAGTTGGGGAGGTGACCACGTCCCAACAATTTGTAGTAACCCTATATAAACAAAAGGAATTTATGTTTAATAAATGATAATAGGAAAAGTTTATAAAACAAAATTCCTTTTAAATGGAAAAAGTTATCTGAAAGGCTTTCGCTACATTGAATACAGCAATTGTACGGTTGCCTTCAGTCCGCCCGACGCCTTAGGGTATATCTTCATGTTAACTTTTTACATCACTATTTTTAAGGAAATTTATTTTAATATTAGTCACAAAGATATACTTACGAATTTGACCAAATCAATGACGGGAGCCTTAGGAGTCTTCTCCTTCTCCAATTCAGCTACTTTGTCGACACCGACCAAAGACCACAATTTGTCCAAGTTGAGGGTTGGGCAGAATTTGTGTTGACGGCGCAAGTGGAAGTTTCTCATACCAACCTTACCGAAGTAACCTGGATGGTATTTGTCGAAGTTGATGCGGTGATGGTGCATACCACCAGCGTTACCGCGACCACCAGGGTGCTTACGGTGCTTGCCGATACGACCGTGACCATGACTTACATGACCACGCAACTTTCTGGTCTTCTTCCTCTTGATATTCGACTAAACCGGATAAAAACAAAGCAAATATGAGTTTTTTTTTCGATAATTACTGAAGATCAAACACGTGTTGGACATTTTAACACGAGCCGCCACGAAAATGCATGCCAAACAAATTGCACAAAAACACTTCACGTGATTCACATTCTGCTCTCAGTGTAGCTTACATTTGTTTAATTCTTTTTCTAAAAACATTCCATAAATGTTAAATTTTATCGCTTGTCAATGTTTCTATTGTTTTTTTAAATAAATCACTTCATTTTTTCACTTTTGTGGCGACTCGGTAAACGAAAAACATCCACTCACCATCTTTAATTTTTCCGAAAGAAAGAAGTGAGCGAAGTTAGTTGCACACCCAAGTTGTCATCAATTTGTATTGAGCTGTGTTTAATACGCACATGGTTGTATTTGACAGTGCGACCTTCGTAACATCCGCCTTCTAGTATAAAATAATCTAATTTCAAAATACTTCAACTTGTATAAATAAAAGCACTGGTTATGCGCGTATTCTCCTTTCTCACTTTTACTCTGCTACTCTGAATTTATTAATAAAAAAGTTTTTATTACGATAACCGATTTTCCCTTTATGATATCCAAAAATATTGCAAAGCTAGTAGATTCTTAAAGGCTCTGGAACAGAGCATATATTAACAAATGCGACTTCACTTTTTTGGCGCAAAATCGGTAAAGGTAAAATGATAATTGGTAACGGTGAAACGATAATTTTCTCTATTCTAAAGGGATAAGTACATAAGAAGCTTGAAGTCATGGCACGGCACATTTCACAAAGGAATTACAGAGCCGCACTAAAATCCTGCCGTCGTTTTCCATTATAATTTGGCATTATTATGCCTAGCCATGACTTCAAGCTCTTTATGTATTTGCACCCTAAGTTCTGTTCCAGAACCTACAAATTAGTACTAATTCTGCTACAACGCGTTCCCGCAATCCAAAAAACTAGCAAAACTTGCAGCTCTCTCGAGAAAAAATGGCGCTGAGTGGTGCACATTTCTGCTTGTTTTAGCTACATGAATTTGGCCGAGCAGAAATGTGCATTTGTAAATTTGACATTTAATTGGCAGTGCTAACAAGGCTAACTAAAGATAAAACTATTATTTGTCGTGCAAAAAAACAAATAGAGAAAATATGGAGCAACTGATGTATTCACTTCTGGATGATTCCTGCAGTGAAGAATCTAAATAGAAAGAAATCTAAATAGAAAGACAATACAGTTTTATCACAAAATTGTACAATTTATTACCCATTTACGTCGAAAGTTTGCATTTATTTTGCAACCAAATTTGAAATGATTTCAAATTATTGTATTTTTGTTCAAAACAAGACACAGACATATACAAAAAGGGGAAAATGTTTTGACTGAATAAGGGCACCAAAAAAAAAAAAAGGATTTGAGTGATAACTTTGTTCTACCTTCTGTAATTGTGCCATGGTTGTATCTAAGCATGTGGTTACCTTTTATTATTTTACCATAAAACATCGTGTGAAGGTAAAGTCAAAACATATCCATCACTGCTTTTTATGTAATTTACCTTGCCAAATTTTACTGCATAAAAAATAGGCTCCCTTCTCTGATTTATGAAAATATAGTAGATTCATAAATAAACATTTAGACAATTTTTTTTCCTTCATGGTAGAATTAAGAAGTTAAAGTCATACAATCATATGTTTACAACTTTTTCAAAATTTATATTTATAAATCCATTGTAAAGATAGAAGTCAAAGATGGGAACCTTTTTTTCATGATAGAATCAAGGAGGCAAAAGTCATGCAATCATATGTTTACAAATGTTTCAAAAATTATTCATTTGAAAACATCTCATTGTCAAAATTTGTACTTATAAATCCATCGTAGATACACAAATCAGAGATGGTTTTTTGTGTACTGAAATGTGATAAAATAAATTACAAAAAATGCAGAGATGGGTATGCTTATTTGAAATGACTTTACCTTTTTAATTTTACCATGCTTTTTTTATTCAGTGAAATTTGACATGGTAAATTACAGATTATTTGAAGTGACTTTATCTTCTTAATTTTACCATGATTCTAGCGTCGTTTTATATATAGGATTTAATCATGGTCCAATTATAAGGTCGAAATGCAAGCAATCATCACAATGTTTTAAAGCTATGCAAATGACAACTACAACTACAACATCTCATTGCCAAAGATATATTTTAAGAGATATGCACCTGTTATCTATGCCGGGAAATTTGACTAGATAAATAACAGAATTTGACTGGGCAAATTATGTAAAATGCAGGGGTAAATATGCTTATTTGAAATGACTTTAGCATAATTTTAACATGGGTTTTTTACTCTGCGATAAAAATTCGACAAATATTTAATCTCTATAAAATAGTTATATTTTATTAATCCCCCTTCTTATCTGTATTCACGACCCATAAAAGTCAAGTTTTTATTCATAATTATAGAAAACTTATTTTACGTTTGTTTCTCTTTCAAAACGCTTGTTGGCACGTGTTCAGTTTTTCTTTCGAGTGTAAATACTCAAAACAGGTCGATTGATAGGTACCAATCAACATCAGCTGTTTTTTGTTGTGAAAGCAGAAAAAGGATAAAAAACTGTTGGCATAGTGACCAATTGACCTTGCTTAGGAGAACACAACTTGAAACAGTCATCAAATTTTCCTTAAACTTGAAACGAGCTGCAGGTCATCAAGGCGGTATCGTCAAAAAATTGTTTTTCCTATTACATACAAATAAACTTGACACATTTATTGCATTTGTGTCATACAGGCGCAAATAAAAAAACGTTTAATCATTCCCATTCAGTAGTTTCCGCAAACAACAGCGAAAACTTTTCTTCCGTGTTGTGTGTTACATCATAAGGCATAAGTTGAGTTTAGGGGCTATGCTTGGATTGACCTGAAATTTTTACCGCAGGTAGGTATTTGTAACCTGATTACGGCAATATAATTTTTTTGTGGGGGAAATACCCGGTTACCCGGTTATTCGACCCAAAAGTTCGGATACAACATCCGGTTTATATCCGGTTCTACGTAACCGATATCAATAATATGGGTATCATTTGAAAGCTTATGAAAATTCCTATCCAACAAGTGGTCATATGACGGGGTAACTGGAACCTGTTTCGGAGAAATTTAGGAAAATGTGCATTTTTGTATGAGTAATTTTTGAAAAACCCATAAAAACTCGAAAATGGACCCATTATAGGGTCTTAAAATCTATACACAATATTATAGCTAACACTATTGCCTTTCCAAAATGGTGTCATATGTGTTGATATCTTTTGTAGTTCCGAAGATACTGACTTTTAAAGTCGTTACTTATGAAAGCAGTTGAGTGAACCCAAGTTTTGTGTCGGGTTTAACGTTCTTGTTAATCTGCTTTGTTTTTAATTTGGTGTTGTTAGAATATTATGGATCGCGTAGTCGGTGTTGGACATATCCCAGAGGAGAAAATCTTAAGCCCCGGCCGAAGGCCGGCTACTTACAAAAATTACAATTTTTAGAAAAACTATGGATCGCGTAGCCGGTGTTGGACATACCCCAGAGGAGAAAATCTTAAGCCCCGGCCGAAGGCCGGCTACTTTCGAAAACTACAGTTTTTAGGAAACTATTGATCGCGTAGCCGGTGTTGGACATACCCCAGAGGAGAAAATCTTAAGCCCCGGCCGAAGGCCGGCTACTTACAAAAATTACAATTTTTAGAAAAACTATGGATCGCGTAGCTGGTGTTGGACATACCCTAGAGGAGAAAATCTTAAGCCCCGGCCGAAGGCCGGCTACTTACAAAAATTACAATTTTTAGAAAAACTATGGATCGCGTAGCCGGTTTTGGACATACCCTAGAGGAGAAAATCTTAAGCCCCGGCCGAAGGCCGGCTACTTACAAAATGTACAATTTTTAGAAAAACTATGGATCGCGTAGCCGGTGTTGGACATACCCCAGAGGAGAAAATCTTAAGCCCCGGCCGAAGGCCGGTTGCTTAAAAAAGCTATAAAGGTCAAAGTCAAATGCATCTAGACTGGAGAAAAATATAATTTAATGAATTCTATCTCTTATATCCACGGAACCACAAAAGATATCAACACATATGACACCATTTTGGAAAGGCAATAGTGTTAGCTATAATATAGTGTATAGATTTTAAGACCCTATAATGGGTCCATTTTCGAGTTTTTATAGGTTTTTCAAAAAGTACTCATACAAAAATGCAAATTTTCCTAAATTTCTCCGAAACCGGTTCCAGCAACCCCGTCATATGGCCACTTGTTGGATAGGTATTTTCATAAGCTTTCAAATGATACCCATTTTATTGATATCGGTTACGTAGAACCGGATACAAACCGGATGTTGTATTCGAACTTTTGGGTCGAATAACCGGGTAACCGGGTATTTCCCCCACAAAAAAATTACATTGCCGTAATCAGGTTACAAATACCTACCTGCGGTAAAAATTTCAAAATGATCCGAGCATAGCCCCTAAACTCAACTTGCTCCCATCATAATTACAATTTTCCATTAAATTTTTTTGATTTCGTATATCATCTCTAAGGATTCATTTATAAAATATGTCGGAAACGAAATTCAAGAAAGTAACCCACTGCATTTTTGATATGGATGGTTTGCTTTTGGGTAAGTTGTTTGTTTGTTAAATGAATCGGGTTGTTTTTTTTTTTCAATTCGTTAAGGACAAAGCCAGCAACAATGTACTTATAAAAATAACTTGTAGCGGCATTAGCCTTGATGTAATTTTGCCGTATATATGAAGATGTGCTTCTGTATGTAAGTATGACTGGGAGAATGTTTATTAGTTTTTCAGTTGTAGATACTCAAAATAATATGATATAATTTGAGTATCCGTTTACAAAATTTACTTGACGTGGCATATTTAATATAGTTTTGTTGCCACTATAGTCATAATGACGTAATTTAATGACCATATCGAAAATAGAAACAACATTGTTTTAGAATACTTTGACGTCTTAAAATTAGTTATATGCATGCGATAAACATTCTTATTGATTTGCTAATACAATCTAATCAAATTGGAAGGGCAAATTTTTCCAGTCCTGTTCCTTTACAAATCTTATTATAAATTTATTAAAATTTAAAATTAAATTATCTAGTTTTACAAAAATTTAATAAAATAGTAATTCAGTTCACATATGTCTGTAATTTTTACCATAATCTATTAAAGAATGGTTATCATGTTGGAGCCCATAACATTTGATTACCAAAAAAAAAAAAAAATTGGAATCAAACAATTGGAAACTGATTTATTATATTTTGAATACTACAGATACGGAACGTTTGTATACAGACGCCACACAACGAATCCTGAATAAGTTCGGCGACCAAGTTTATACTTTCGATGTTAAACTGTCTCTAATGGGCATGGTACATATGGATATGTGCCGCAAAATCGTTGATGTCTACAAACTACCCATTACACCGGAGGAATACTCCAAATTACAAAAGCAGATCAATTCGGAAATTATGACCAATGCCCAATTTATGCCAGGTAATTGCCAATAACAAACAAAACTAACATTTTCTTTGCTTTCTTTCTCTTTTTATCTATGCGGCGTGTGCTGTATCAACGATTACCAAAAACACAGACACTGAATCTGTGTACGAGGAAGTCATAAGGCAAATAGCACAAGAATACGATAAACCATATCCAATTGAAACACGTCTTAAGCTTTTGGGTACTACCGAACCACGTACAGCCGAAATTGTTGTAAACGATCTAGGTTTGCCCATAACAACGGAGGAATTTTTACAAAAGTTCCATAAGTTATGTAGGGAACGTTTAGCCGATTGTCCATTGCATAAAGGTTAGACACTCAAGGGATTGTGTTTATGATCGATGTAATTTCTTTTATATATTTACACATTGTTATCAAGCACGTTCTAAGTTCAATAATATTAAGATTGATAGGCTTATGATGATGCTTTATCAAGCTTAAAATTTGCATTTGCGTTATGTATTTGTAGTTTTAATTTTTAGTACACATACTATGTATATAGCTACCCGACTTTTTCGTGGATTTGGTTTGATTGTTTTCATTACTATATTTTATCTTGCAATGTAGAGACAAAGGTCTTGATTCTTGAATCTCTGTTTGCAAAACGTTATTTGCCTTTTGATTTCCATACTTTTTCTAACATTTTTTTGTAAAATAATAAGAGTATGTATAACAAGTAAGCTTTATACTAACTATAGACAAATATTTATACTATTAATTAATCTATATATAACATAACAGCATTAGTTTCAGTAGAAATAAAAACATCAAAAACCGACTATTTTTGATGTTTATTTGGCAAAATACAATATTATATGTTATTTTCTAAATGCATAATCAATAACAATTTAAAAGTAATAACAAATGTTCTGAGGTGCATTAGAATGTTCGTAGACATATTAGTAATACCCATTTACTGTTGCAAAGTTTGTCGTAGGGATAAGTGAGTTTTGTGAGAAAGAAAGAATTAAACTTTGAGCTTCTTTCTTCCGAAAAAAAATAAATTTTCCTTACGAAAAACTTGATTTAGTTTACAAAATCTAGTATATTCAGGTTATCTATACTTTCTAATTAGAATATTTTCTGATTTGATATATGATAGAGTCATTCAGTTGAACTAAGACAAAATGTCAAAAATTAGACCATCACGGGAATAAATTACCAAATTAATGGAAAGTGCATGCATTTTGTAAATCACTAAATATATTTCATGGTTAGCGTACTAATAGTGCTTGCAACTGACTATCGAGAAAAAAATATTTTTAAATTTTGAAAATTATATTTTAGTCACATACATGCTAATGTTTGAACAATTTTCTATTTTGTAGGTGCTGAAAAACTATTGCGTCACCTGCACAAACACAATATTCCATTCTGTTTGGCCACCAGTTCTGGCGAGGATATGGTCGAAATTAAAATTACCCATCACCAAGATGTATTTAAACTGTTTCACCATCGAGTATGCGGTTCTACCGATCCTGATGTTAAACACGGCAAACCAGCCCCAGATATTTTCCTTGTTGCTGCCTCGCGTTTTCCCGATAAGCCAGATCCCTCGCAATGTTTAGTCTTTGAAGATGCACCGAATGGTGTGAAGGGTGCCCACAGTGCCGGAATGCAAGTGGTAATGGTGCCTGATGAACGTGTACCATTGGAAATGTGCTCATTGGCCACACAAAGAATTCTATCATTGGAACAATTCCAACCGGAATTGTTTGGCTTACCACCATTCGATAATTAACGAATGATAACATTCTAAAACTTAAACCATAAATGATTTTCGACACTTAACAATTATTTTTTTGTGAAATTTCCATATAAGCTGTGTTTTTGGTGTCGTCCAACTAGTAGTGAACATTTTTAGAATGATGAAAACAATGTACCTTTTCTCAAAACTGGAATAGAGTATGTCAAGCTTAGCTTAACGTATATGTAAGTAGATATAATGAAATGAAAATCTATTGAATAAATAAATGTGCAACATAATATTTGGGTAAACATCCAGTTTTATTTATTTTTACAATATTATTGGCTTATATCGAATATTTCTTGTAATATTTAGAGTAGTTATTCTGCAACATTTCCCCAAAGCTTTATTTGCCTAGAGCTTCGACGTGTTTTTGGATATCCTGTGCAGATTGATTTGTCACTGGCACTGAGGTTTCTTTGCCCAAGGCTAAAAAGAATATAATAATAAATATGTATTATATCAAAGGAGTACTGTAAGTTTGAGATTACTTTAATACTTCTTATCGAATTTTTCATCAAAACATATATCAGTAAGTCTAAATTTGAGGTGTGAAGTAGTTTTCGCAGATCTTTGAAGACTGAAGCGACGTGCATAAGAACAATAAAAAACGAAGTGGGAAAATGTCATCTATCAGGATAAATATTGCAAGTTGAAAATGTATCTTATATTTCGTTTAAAGGGAAGAATGGGAAGCGATACATTTAAATATATATGTTATAATATATTTGTTCTGTTCCAGAAGTGCGAGAATGAAATACTTTTTACTACGATAGCCGATTTTTTCTTTATGATATCGAAGAAAATTGCAAAACTAGTAGATGTGATAATATATTTAAATATATTACTTTCCATTTTGTAAATTTTGAAACAAAACATAGGGTAATGCATTTCAAATTTGTTAATAAAAAGGCTGAAATATTGGGTACGGCCGAGTTTTAGATAAAAGTTATAACATTAAACGAAAACTAACGAATTTCAAAAAAATGTGCAAAACCGAGTTTTAGATAAAAATCAATAATACTAAAAGAAAACTAACAAATTCCAAAAGGCATGTAATTTTTTGGCCAAATACAAAGCTGTCTATGTTGATTTTATACGGAGTTATATCTGCCAATGGAAAAAGTAAGGAGAGTTATGTCTTCTCAGGATAAGGGCTTATTTATAAAGCTTTTTGGTTTGAATATAATCAAATAATGATGATACCGACCGGTTTTGGTCACCTGTACTCTGCAGCAACAAAACTCGAATTGCTTTGAAATGAACGGTTTGCGGGACAGCAGTTTTTTTTTTTACTATTGTCAACGATGCTCACTGCATCGAATACAAAATTGGGCATTAATAATCTGTTTATTTTTACTTTCAAGTCATAATGGGAAATATATATATATCGATACCAAGGGCAGCTACAGTAAACAGTTCATACCGGCTCAATACACGTCTACTTCGGTTTCACTCACTACATTTTTTTATAAACTAACACGCCAACTTACCATAACGAGCCCACAAACGAGGTTGAACACCTTCACATTCTCTGATCAAAATTGGCAGCTCAGGATTGCTCTTCTTCAACGCGGGATAAAAACGTTCAACATATTCCCTGGTAGTTTCAAGAAAAAGGATATTTTTCAATTGCTTTATTCAAACATTATGTAACCTCAAATTGAAACGATTTGCTGTGGCCAACAACTTACCGGGCGCCCTTTGAGGCTTCTCCAGTCTGACACAAATGAAGGCGCAACTCCTTCAATTTGGGACCCATTTTGGTCAATCTAGCAACAGATACACGCATCTTGTTAAGATTGTTTGAGAAATTGTCGCCTTAACGCCAAAGAAGGAGGATTTGTGTGTTCCTTCTCAGAACAGAAAAAAACAATATGAAATGTCAACTAACAGCTGTTAGCGTTTGTATTATTTGTGATGTGAAAGTATTCGGTGTAATTGCTAGATTACTTTGATAATGACAGGGGTGATTTAAAAGGTATTGAAATATGACCGTTATTTTGACGTTTTTTATAAGAAAAAAATGGCTCGTAGAAACCATGACAGAAACTGAGTAAAAAACTCAAAAAAGACAGCTTCAAAAAGCAGCAAAATCCATGAGTATATTTCTAAAGAAGTGAAATACGTTACTGAGAATCAATGCCCAGACGAAACGAATAAAACTTGACATTTTTCATGTGTGTCAGTCTTGCTGCGTTTTTGGGATATTCGACTAAAGGGTACGAAAAGTACTGAAATATACTGAATGCTGAAATATATATATATTGTATTGAACACTTTGTATAGGAAAAACTAAATGAGCTAAAATTCTGAAATTTGCAATGAGAGTCACTGATGGCGTGCAGGAAAGACGTACCAAAGGGGTTTTGGAAATTTTTAAAATTTGGTATAAGGATTACGGTGGGGAAAATACGTTTAATAGATGAAGGTGGTTTTTGAAATGTGCACTAAGTGGTTGGTATGAGAATCCAGGTCGGAAATAAGTTTGATGTATGAAGGTGGTTTTGGAAACGTTTACTAAGTGTGTAGACTGTTCTTAATGGTACTAAATTTAGAACCATTTTGTTTAGGGTTAATGTATGAAGCTGGAATTTTGAAACTTTGTATCGAAGTCCCTTGTGTAAAGTAGGTTTGTTTAAAAGTGGTGGTTTTGGAAATGTAAACTACAAGTACACGAAAAAAAAAACTAAAAATTACTATATTTGGTACAATTTCGTATTGGCTGAACTGATAGTACATGAAACCTGAAATTTGGTATTAGGGTTGTTGTTCGTGTGCAGCGTGGACATATGGCAGTATCTGTGTTTGAGATTTGGCGATGGTTTGGAAATGCGTCCTATATTTGTTCGGAAAGTATTATATGGTACTAAATTTGGGCGAAAGGATACGACTGGAATCCTCAAATTTGATTTAGAGATCTGTTTTGGTATGAAAGGAATACAGCTGAAATCCTAAATTTTATATAAATGTCACTGTTGGTGTCTGTGGTTGAGAAGAGTTGTTGGAAACGTGTAGGATAATTACTAAATAGTACTTAATTTAATATTAGTTGATTTAATAGGCCATGAATCTCGAAATTTGATATTGAGGTCTCTGTTGCTATCTGGCATTGGTTTTACAAATTCGTACTATAATTGTTCGAAAAATACTAAATGGTATATGTTTTTGGATCAGTGGATGGAGAGGTGTAGACCTCTTTTTGATATGCGTATTAGATCTTACCAAAATTGGGATGGGATTGGGTGAAGGGAAAGAGCTGAAATTTCAAACAGGTCATTGTTAGTTTCTAGGGTTTACATATGGAGAAATAGTTTGGGACATCAAAATTGGATTTGCACAATTGTTTTACTAATATCCTCCTAGGTAAACATCAAAACGAAATATTTTTACAATTTTTTTTGGTGTAAAAGATAAACAATTTCCTATTATTCTTTCTGAATAAGGAACAACTTAAATAATAAATGAAACCCATGTTAAAATTAAGAAGGTAAAGTAATTTCAAATAAGCGTTCCCGAAAAATAAATGAAATGAAGTTTCGATAAAAAAATATTGTTAAAGTGATAAAATTGCAATTTGCTGACGAATTAGCTGGCGCTTGTAATGGTATTCAAAATTTATTATTAACTAAGCAGCCCTTTAAAAAAAACAATCATGACAAAATTAACATATATTCTTCCTTAAACCTAAAAATAAAAGAGAAACACCTTGTTTTTTTTTTGTAATTTGATTATTATTGTTAAAATGTAAAATTTATTTGTTTGTGAAGAACCTAATATTAAATAAAATTAAAACCGATCTCAAATCGGTTGTCATGCATAGTATATAATAATATAACCATCTAAAGATTCAGAAAAAAGCAATAATTATTTGAACCTGTGTCACTGAATAATAATAGAATTTTTTTGTTTGAGAAATGTAAGTAAATGGTTTGAAATACTGTAAAAATATCAATAATTAGTGTTTCTCTTCGTCAGTGGGATCGCAATCCGCACAGTGCCAAGAGTAACCGCGTATTTTTGGAGATTTTTTGAGTGGCGGATCTAAGCAAGTAAAATGATAATGTTTGCGACATTCGTCACATGTAACCATATTCGTTGATGTACCATTCGTTTGACAGACACAGCAAGCGAGCACCTGATTAGAACTTTGTGTAGGTGTTGTCTTGGCACGGCAGCCGCCACCCGTACTTGCTCTACCGTTGCCGCCAAATGACATTCGCGCTTGTTTCGATTTTCGTGGACTACTTTTGCGTGGCGATGTTTTTATGGGAGAACTATTTGCTAATGTACTTGGTGAGTTTGTTGTAGTTCTTGTTGTAGATGTGTTAACGGATTGGGGACGGGTAGGTGTTGTATTGTGTTTAAGGGTATGTGCAGCAACAGGGTCATCTGGTAATGCAGTCGGAGTTAACTCTTCAATGGTTTCCACTGAGCCCGGTCGAGAGGCTTCATCAGCAGAACGCACCATATCGGCAGAAACATAAAAAAACTGTGCCTCCGGTGTTACTTCACCGGGTAGCGGTAATGTTTTGAATTTTATTTTTATTTTGGGAATCCCAGCCATGGTGTCTTGTGGGGCCTCCAAATCATGTTGTTTCTTTTTACGCTTACGTTTATGTTCCTTACTCATTGATCTTTCTGTGTCCGATGAAAGATTGTGTTTGTTTCTGTGTTTATCTTTCCGTTTTTGTTTGCGGGCTTGTTTACTATTTACATCTGTGGCTGAATCTTCATTAGTTGTAGGATTAGAATTACTATTGTTTGGGTTGATGGTTGTCGTCGTCGTACTACTGCTACTAGTAGTGGTTGCAGCACAAGGCAAAGTCAATGGGTCAGTATCGGCAATAGAAGGTATGGGTGTAGAAGTTTTAGATGTTTTAACTAATTCCAATGCTTCGTCATTATGCAATGATGTCTGCACCGGCGATGGCTGAGTATCTAAAATAAATGACAGTGTTAATTGTTTATTCGTTGTATATATCGTTATATTAATGCAAAAAAGTCCTAAATAATATTTCCTTAAAATAATGTGGAGGGAACTAAGTACTATAACTTTGTTATTTTGGTTTTTTTTTACCGGAGATGTAGAGGAGAGGATATTCTATGTATCATGTATATAAGAAAAGAGATTTGAAAAGCGACTTGACGTATCTTCGTGTCTCTCATTAGTCATACTTCTTATAACCCCGTCAGTTTTCAGCTCATATTTATAGCTCTTATAAACTCAGGCTGCTAGAAGGTCTCCAATTTAATTTTAAGTATTCACTTTATTCTATTTAATTTAAACATTAAAAAAGAAGTCTCCTATCTATCTGGAGGTAACTTACTTCGGTTTATTATAAATATTGGAATTATTGAGGGGATTTTGGCGGGAAAACGATATTACATTTGATTTTTTTAATTGGGAAGGAATAAACAAACTTTATAGTTTAGAAGGCCTATGACCAGCATCATTAACTTTCACACGTTGAGAGCAGGATATACGCGAGATACATTTCTTTGTATGTCCTTTGATTGAGGGATTAAAAAGTAAGTTAAGCTTGAACTATATAAAGGAATCTAACACATTCACTTAGAGAAAATAAAAATTAATTTATTTTATTTCATTTAATTCAAACAAATACAAATTATAATAAGAAGATAATAACATCCAATATAAGTGTCGTTTTATGTGTTTAAAAATAAATCAATAAAAGCGAAACAAACATTAATAAGTATATAGAAATGTGAATTATACATAAATAAGATGTGAGTAAATCATGTTTTAAAAACGGTAAACCCCCATATCACTTTAAGCGGGACTTCTCCGAAAGAGATGGCTAAGGGAAAGTGACCTATTTGCGATAAAAAAATCAGAAATAATTCGATGATTCAATAAACGGCCAAGCAAGTTTCCTACTGTTTACTCTATGAATGACCCAACATCAACAATCACACCCAGACAACAACCATTAATTTTCTATTTCCCTTACTCTTTGCGAGTTTTGAGATATGTTTTCCTAATTTACAATTTGTTGTTGTTGTTTTCATTAGAATTGCAGACACCTATATCTATCTATCGGGACATACCCGAAAAAATCATATTTTCGCGAGGTAATGGACTACTTGTGGTATTAATTTGAAAACAATTTGAGCTAAGTCCCAAAACTCCATGAAGGCCCTTAAAATGTTCATATAAAAATCAAACTCGTTCCAAAAACTAACAATTACTTGCCAGAAGTACACTTAATTCTATGACCCATCAACATTTGGATCCGTATGACAAGAAATTAGACAATTTTAATGGGATCAATTCCATTGCGGCTTTAAAAAACTATCAACTTACTTTCAGCTTTAGTTTTTGAGAGTTTTGAAATGTGTTTTTCCTTATTTACAATTCCTTGTTGTTGTTGTTGCTGTTGTTTGTTCGTTGGCGGGTGTAAATCCTGTTGAGATGCCGTTGATTTCGAATAGTTTAAACTTAATTTCGACTTTTTACTTAACTTCGGCGTAATGGAATCTGAACTGTCGTTATTATTATTGTTGTTGTTATTGTTACAGCCAATAACATTTTGTTCAGTACGTTCCGTTGCTGGCATTTCGATGGCATTCGGCAATGATTTGTTCAATAATTTCTTAAATGACGATGACGTCGGTGAACTCAGAGAATTTACATTTGTTGTTGTTTGATTATCTAAGGAACGTCTTTTAGCAGGACCAGGACCTCCAGTGGAATCTGTGTTAGCATGCTTTAAATGTTGCAAATAATTATCTTCATTAAATGGTGGCGGCGTACAACTTTTTGCTACGGGTACAATTATTCCGTCTTTATTGAAACGCGTTCTTGATTTCCTTGGTCCTTTGGGTAGTTCGGACAGACCATCCGATTGATCGGATTTGTCACATTCGGAACACTGCCAGCCATATAATTTCGATTTTTTAGGATGCCGTGTTAAGGGAGGATTTAGACAACCAAGATGATAGTACAATTTACAAGTGTCACATTTAGCCAATAAATGTTGATCTGTTGATTTTTTACATATGCCACAGTTGTGAGTTTCCACAGGCGGAGACGTTGACAAATGATGGTGTGGATTAGTGGTCTTATGTTTTTGACTGAGGAATGAAGGTGAGAAACCAGTTATAGGCGTGGAGTTACATGCAAGCGAAGGTGAATCCATTGCTTGTGTGCTGAGCAGTCTATTATTGTCGCCCTTAGTATTGGGATGGCCCAAACGAGCCAAAGGAAATCCAACTCCCATCTTTAAAGCCGCCGCTGTGGGAACACTAATCGGTCGATAAGGCGGTGTGCAGGCTTTTGCTTGATCTTCACTGATAGGTCTGCCTATATTTAAAGGATTCGGCAGATTTTTGTTTGGACATAAGGAGTTGATGTGCGTCTGCATTTGTGATATGGAATTAATAAGTGATTCGTGCTTCGCTTTCAGTTCTTTGTTTTTATCTAGCAGTCCGTCGTACTCCGAACGTAGATGCCCCTGTTCCTTTGTAAGTGTAGAATTTCTCGACATCATTTCCGTCAGCTGTTCTTTCAGTTCTTTAGAGCGAGATATGCGATCAATGTAGTATGCAACAAATTCTACACTAAAGGCTGGAGCTATGTGCCATTTCTTACGAATATCGGTTAGAGATTGGATTTGCATATCCTGTTCTTCCATAAGGTCTACATCAACATCCATAACCTTGGCTTTGGCTAAGAGTCTTCTACAGGCAGATGCAGAGGTAGTTATCATCCGCGACATTTTCTGAGTTGGAACCCAGGGTTCCGGTCGGGCCTGTTTGTGATTTGCATACTTTACTTGGTACTTTTGGAGTTTGCGATTTATCCGCATTTGTGCAGGACATGGATCATCAAGTTTGTGTAGCGTCTTCTCCCTCTGTTTTTCTTCCATATGCATGCGGAATGTATGGTAGTTTCTCTTTCTTTTTCGTATTAATTCTTTTTCGGAATGCACCTTACAATGGGCGTAGAATGGATCAGCAGCATCGGTATCCTCATGATGGGCCTCGGTTAGGAAACCAGCTGCTTGGGCGCAAGTAACATGGAAGTAGGTCTTACACATGCCAGCATCACAACCTATGCAAACGCCAGTGCGGGAAAATCGAGCATCGTCACACAGGGAGCAGACCTTTGCACCCCATTTACTGTATTGCATCTCAAACAGTGTTACGCATGACAACTGATCAACCTCACCAAACGCCACTCCTGGCACATATAGAGCACACACCAAATGTACCCATTTGCCAACATCGGTTTCCTTATAAATTCCACCTGTGTTGGGACATAATTCGCAGGTTGGTTCAGATACGCCAGCCCGACAGGCTTCGCAGAACCATGGCTCTGTTGAGCAGGTTGAGTTTGTACTGGATATACTATTATTATCACTAACGCCATAGCAACCTTCGTGGACAGAGACGCCACAACCATCACACTCCACAATTTCATTAGAATCATCACTACGATCACCCAAGCATACACAACAAATCGCCTTGAGAGGAATTTTCGAAACTGTAACCGGTTTTGCATCTAATTTTCGCAACACGCTTTCTATGTTGTCAACACCATTCACTAACTCCTCAGTTTGTTTGTTTGTTGTTGTTTTCTTCTTCTCATCGTCCTCCTTGACGTCTTCTGTAGCCTCTGCGAGTAATTGTTTCAACTGCAGCGTGGAATCATCTGTGTCACACTTATCATCATTATCCTCATCATCGTCGTCTTCGTCATCATCCGAGGATGAAGCAGAACTTGAATTATCACCACCGTCATCATCATCGTCGTCGTCATCTTCATCCTTTGGTTGAAAATCGCTGTCTGAAGAACTTTCGCCCAAGTCAAAATCCAAAAGAGCTTGTGTGGTCATTTTCGGTTGACGTTGGCGTTTAAACGGTGCCATCTTTGTACACACTTTTCTTACACTACTGACAATAATTTCATTTATACAATTTACAATAATTTCTCTTTATACAACTTATAAAACTTTTTGCAAAAAAGACACGGCGAAAAAATGTATGCAAGCTGATGCTGCTTCTTTTTGCAACTGACATTTGACAAATTACATTGAAGTGATAACACAACAACAAAAAACCGGTGGCCGTCACTACACCCTACCCTCTGACTGCAGTCAGCTGTTATCGTTGTATTTAATTGTATATTGTTGTATATCGTATTAGGGATATCTAGTCAATTTGTCAAAAATCTTAAATTTAAAGTTAGTCAACACATTATATATTATTTTGGAACAGACTTTATGCCACTACATACTGGTTCGATACATTCATGGTAAAACAAAACAATTTTGGAATTTTTTTATTTATTGTTTAAAGTTTAAATTGGAAAATTATTCAAATTTGCGCGCGTATTATTTTTTTATTAGTTTTGACATGGTCTTGAAAGGTCTTACAGTTTGGTCGATCATGGAAAATCCATATAATTCCTTCATATTAAATATAGCAAAATAACTTGTTGCATATAATTTTAGGAAGCTGTTCTACATCTTTTATGTACCATGGTTGCATCTATCTGTATTTTCTACCATAGGGACATAATATAATTTTTTTGAAGACAGTAAATGTTGTCAATTTTTGACATCCCAAAAAAGAAAAATCAAAATATTTTTTTGCGTTTTATGTAATTCACCTTGTCAGATTTCACTGAATAAAAAACATGTTCCCATCTCTGATTTCTGTGTATTCAATAGATTTACAAATATAAATTTTGACAATATGTTGTCAAATGAATAATTTTGAAAATTGTAAACATATGATAGCATGACTTTACCTTCATAATTCTACCATGAGAAGTAAACACGTATCTTTCTCGGATCATTTACCTGTTTTATTAAAACAATTGCCACATTATATCAAATAATGCAATTTATTCTCAATTAAAACACAATTGTGAAATATTCCAAATAAAGTCCATTTATTATTATTAACTTTAAAGTTTCTTATGCTGGGTTCAAAAATTTAATTTAAGAACGGATATTTCGCGACTTCGCATTATTGTATCTTTAAAAACTACTTCCATTAAAACTTGATGTGACTGTATAAACGTGGTAAGTCCTGTACTTATTTCCAGTCCCCGCACGAGTAACATCGTTAGGTATAGGCTTTTTTGTTTTACTTTTAAAAGTGTTAAAATTTGCAAAAGCAGTAGCATATAAACACGGCTCTCCATTCATTTGTGCCGCTACCTTGCAGAACTAATAGCATGTTTACATTAGAGCTTTTTGCCGAGTGATTCCCTCATGAGGATTTATCTGACGTATATGTAATGGAATGGCAGTTTACATCTCAACATTGTTAACGATTTGTTTATTGTATAATCAATCACAATATAATGGCATCTAATTAAGAAATTAGAGACTCATTGTTTGTTTTTTGAATATGAAACATTAAAACAAAGAAATTTCAGTTTAAGAATCTTATAATGAAAATATTTTTATGTGTTTGTTTTCTCTTTCGAGACGAGCTTAATGATCAGGAATTTGCAGTGAAAAGGAAAGCCAGATAGACACTATCACACACTCACCACTATGCGACGCGTTTCGCCGTTGGTTAAGCGGCTCATCAGGCATATTTGGTGTGGATGATGGCTTACAAGGGCCGTTCTCTGGAAAGTAGTATATATTTCGAACTTATTGCAAATTAGCATATGCGAATTATAGACTAGAAACTCTCCAGGTTCGACTCAAGTTCTATTGGCAGATCTTTTTCACAGCAAAGTTTTGTTTTTGTAGTGATGGATTTTTTGTCCACAACAACTACATTGCTTCCAATGCATACACTTGTTTTAGTGCTGCTTTAGGAAGACGGGTTAATGGCTCTGAACGTAGAGACGGCAACTTCTAGTTGGCTGCACATCGAGGTTCGCGGTTCAAATCCCACAGCCAGGCTCGGCTAATTTTTTGAGTTTTGCCTTGTTAAGGCGAAGATCATATGTTTTATGATTTATGTGTTTGTTTTCTCTTTCGAGACGAGCTTAATGATCAGGAATTTGCAGTGAAAAGGAAAGCCAGATAGACACTATCACATGACTGCATAGAAAACACGTTTCCATATCTGATTTGAGTGTATACAATGGATTAGTAAATATTAACTTTGACAATGAAATGTTGTCAAACGATAAAGGTTGAGAAAAAATTGTAAACATATGATGGCACAACTTTACCATGTCAATTTCAAATAATTTTAAAATTATTTCGATAATTATTTATAATTTATAAATGAAGTTATATAATGTTTTCATGTTAATTGGAAAATTTTCCTTTTTTCATACGCTTCTGTCTATTGACATTAATACAATAAAAAATCTGCTTTATCGGTTAAGGTAAAATTATAATTCTAAAACAAACTGCCAATGTACAACAAATTTGGATAAAAATTGTGTCCAGAACAACCAAACACAATAAATCTGTTATCTGTCAGTCACAAAAATGTGATCCTAAATGGCCCATTTTCAATACCAAAAGTTCTAAGAACCTAAAACAAGTCCATGGTACAATAAAATCAAGGTGGGCTATGGTACCATATGATTTTAATTTTTTATTTTCTTGGCCTAATATGTCAACTTTACTTGTTTATGTGAGTGTGATTTTTTTAATAATAGAAATTTTTTCAAAAATGCTCATTGCAACATATGCATCTACAAAATCTACCTCTATCTGCTTTTATAGCGAAATACACCTTTAAAGATATATAAATCATGATTTTGACCAGAAAATTTGACCTTTTATTCAGTTTCGGCGGTTTTAAATGATTCATTCAAAATCAATGCAACAAGTTTTTTTCTGTTTTGATAGTAATTCTGACATTACAAGCATTACATTAGATCTCCATGCTTGCATTTTTTTTTCAAAGTTAGCCTACCATGGTAGAAGAATATTGGCAGACGCATCGACACAGCTGCTGGAACAATGAACTGTCAAACCAATTTTGGAATTGAAAATATTGAATGAAAAATGATTTAAATTTGTAAAAATTGTTGAAAACGCAAATTATAATAACGTCCGAATGACGTCGTATTAGAAAAAATATAAAAATCTTCTTACCTTTTAAATAACATTTAATTTTTTTTGACATATCAATGCTCCGAGACGTTGATGCATATACCTGTATTCTTCTGCCATGTAGCCTACCTTGTCTTCATTGTACCATGTACAGGGTTGCCCATATTCGACGGACCCATCTGGCGACGCCATAACTTTTGACAGAGATGTCACATCGCTTAATGACATACCGCGTTTGAAGCGTTAGTCCAAGCAGAATGAACCAATACACGCCACGCGAGCGCTCTGAAATAGTTGGAATTTACATTCAACAGAAGAAGTCAATTGCGAAAACTCAACGTGCTTTTAAAACATTAAAAAATGTGAGAAGTGCGCCTTCTAAGAACGCCATTAAGCGTTTATACGAAAAATTTGCGACTGGTAAAGCTCTTTCTAATCCGAAGAGGCCATATAAAAGTCGACCAATGCGATCGGCCGAAAACATCGCTGCCGTACGAGCCAGTGTTGAGAGGTCCCCAAGAACATCCCAAAAACGCCGTTCTCAGCAGTTGGGCATGGCTCGGTCCACTTTACAACGGATTATTCGCATTGATTTGCATTTGTTCCCGTACAAAATTCAATTGACGCAAGGAATGTTGCCTGCGGACAAGCCTCGTCGATTGGAATGGGCCCAAAGGGCGCAAAGGTCCGTCGAATATGGGCAACCCTGTACTTGAGCCTATATCTACAGTTCTATACAAAAATATTTCCTATATATTAGGATCACAAACTGCCAATTTACAGCGAATTTGGATTAAAATTTTGACTAGAAGCACATTGAATCTGCTAGTACAGTTATATGGCGTCTATACAAAAATGTGATCCTGAATGGCCTATTTTCAATACCAAAGGTTCCAAAGACCCATGGTAGAAGAATACAGGTAAATGCATCAACCCTTGGGAGCATTGATATGTCAAAAAAAATTTAAATGTTTTTTTTTTCAAATATAAATAGATTTTCAATGTTTTCTTATACGACATCATTTGAAAGTTATTATAATTCGTGTTTTTCAACAATTTTTACAAATTTAAATAATTTTTCATTCAACAATTTCAATTTCAAAATTGGCTTGACAGTTCATTGTCCCAGCAGCTGTATCGATGCGTCTACCTATATTCTTCTACCATGTAAAGACCTAAAACACATCTGAGTAAAATTGTATCAACCTACTTCATTTCGTTAGAAAACTAGAGTGGTTTCCACAGACGGACGGACACCATCAAATCGACTAAACTACGTAAAAGTACAGCCCTGAGGCTATGTCCGCTTCCTGTCGAATTTGCATGCAAACGAGTTGTTTTCGCTTATTCAATCTTTTTCCTCATTTTTAAAATCAGTTAAACGATGAAATGCCTGGATTTTCATTCAAAAATATGATGTAAATAGCTCGATCTTTCAATTCCATGAAAAAACTGGTGAATAGCTTAAATGCGCGTCCCGCAATGTACGCCTCTTCTAATCAATGATTTTGAAAATATTTTTCAACACGATAAATACATACACGAAATTGGCAGAACTCAGGCACACTTAGAAAAAATTGTAATCAGCTGGTAGTTCTACCTTACCTTTTTATTGTACCTTGCTTCTACCTATATTCTCATGGTAGAAGAATACAAGTAGTCGCATCGGCACAGCTGCTGGGACAATGAATTGTCAAACCAATTTTGGAATTGAAAATATTGAATGAAATTTTTTTTAATTTGTAAATAATGTAGATAAACGCGAATTATAATAACCTCCGAATAACGTCGTATACGAAATCATATAAATATTTACTTATATTTGAAAAAACATTTAAAATGCAGCTGTGTTGATTCGCCTACCTGTATCATTTTATTATGTACCATGGAGGTAGATTTCAATAGGTATTACAAAAGGAATGACAAACTTAATCGTGTAAACCTTCTTTTAGAAGCAATTCCAGCTATCGTTAGATATGTTTTGTTCTTCAATTTCTATTTAAACAGCTGTTATGCTTTCCAACAACATTCGTAACACGGAACATATTTTTTATTTCCTCTCTCTGCCATTCGTTTAATGAAAAACGGTCGGTCGTGGCAATTCTCGAATTTCTTGATATGAATTGGCAATTGTTTTATTAAAATAATAAAAACTGGTCTTAGGAAGTTATTCGAGGCACCAGTATTAATCTATAAATAAAAACCAACACATTAATATATATTCTTGAAAGGTGCATATATACAAATTTTTGAAAGTGTTTTGTTAAAATGTTTCCTTGCATCCTGAGCTGACCAACAAAACCCTGACTGAGATTGACTTTGGGAACCAAAGCTGCTAATTTTGTTGCAGAATAAGGCAGACATCATGAGTATGGATGAAAAATTGAAATATTCTCTTTTAAGAAATGAATTAGTAGATACTCAATCGATATGGACAAGGTAATTATATTACTTTGCTTATGACGATTGTCCGGCGTTTATCAGTTCTCATCTTTTTAGACACGAAAAACGTATTTGGTTTATAACTCTAATCACCGGCACATGTATGCTGTACTCAACACGAACCACAATGCCTTTACTTGTGCCCGCCGTGGCAGGAGAAATGAAATGGAGCAAAACTGATTCGGGAACAGTATTAAGTTCATTTTTCTGGGGATACACATTAACGCAGGTGGGTTATCAACATAACACAGGCTAACAACATAAGTATTGACTGGGAATCAAGCTGAATTGGTTTAAATCTCCTGGGACCGTTCCATAGATGTCGAAACATCGGATAAGAAATAAAAGAGCTCTAGCTAGATTTTCAGAATTAATCCAGCCAATATCTGCTTAAATGTAAACTGCCATATAAAACTGTACCTTTACCATACTTCCTTCAATCTTTCAACATTGGATCATGCGTTACTGCGTTGCTTAATAGTATTTTTTAAAGAAGTAATTAATTAATTTCCCCCCCTCTAGGTTGTTGGTGGCTATTTCAGCGATCGCTTTGGTGGCCAACGAGTTATTTTGTTTGCAGCAATCGGTTGGTCACTAATAACATTTTTTATGCCCAACATAATATGGTGGGCACCAAATGCAAAAGGTTATGCCATTCCATTTATTGTGACTATACGTATTATTAATGGAGCATTTCAGGGTGTTCATTTTCCCAGTATGATAAGTTTAACAAGTCAAGTAAGAATTTGTTGAATGATTTGGTTCCTAAGAACTTTCGTTTTTTACATGCTTTCTTCTTTTCAGAATCTTTGCTCAAATGAACGCACAAGTTTTTTTGGTCTACTGACATCTGGCTCTGCCATTGGCACCCTACTGACGGGGATTCTGGGCTCGTTTGTTTTGGATTACTTTGGTTGGTCCTATGTATTTCGTGTCATTGGCTTTATGGGCATTGCATGGGCTTTAGTGTTACGTTATTATGCCATGGCTGGGGAGCGTAATCGCATTATTAACGTTTCGTTGCCTTCCCGGCTGTGCGTTAATAAGGCCAATGTGGACACTGTGCCATGGTTAAAGTATTTTAGTAGACTTTCATTCTGGGCATGTGTCCTAACACATGCCTGTGAAATGAATTGTTTCTTTGTATTGCTCTCTTGGTTGCCAACATATTTCCATGATGGGTTTCCCCACGCCAAGGGATGGGTGGTGAATATGATTCCCTGGTTGGCATTACCTCCAAGTACATTTTTTGCCAAATATCTAACTGGAAGACTGTTGGCACGTGATTGGTCCATGTCGGCGGTAAGGAAAATAATACAAAGCTGTTGTTTTGCTGCACAAAACTTGGCTCTTTTTATAATGAGCCGAACTACAGATTTTCATACAGCCTTAATATGCATGACAGTAATCATTGGTAAGTAAATCCTTTTTTAAACTTTATATTGTATTTTACAAGTATTCTGATTTTAGGTGGCACTGGTTTTCACAATAATGCTGTGACTGTAAACCCCCAAGACTTGGCACCTTCTCACTCAGGCAGTGTATTTGGCCTCATGAATACTGTGGGAGCCATACCCGGCTTTTTGGGCGTATATTTGGCTGGTCATATTCTCGAAGTAACCCAAAGTTGGCCAATGGTATTTAGTGCAGCAGCAGGCATTAATCTCGTAGGCTGGATAATATTTGTGGTTTTTGGCTCAGCTGAGGCTATTGTGTGATTTAATTTAGGTTAGCTTTATTTCTTGAGAAACGTTCCGCTGCATCACAATGCGCCCATCAATTTGTTCATTGTGTAAAATATTAGGATTTAATGTAAATGACTATAATAGCTTTCTTTAAATTATGTCACAAGAGTTAAGTATATCCTGATTTTAGCTGATATCTACTATGAATCTTTGTTTACCAAACTCATTTTTCCAATCTATCCACATTCTTCTTGATATAGAGTTTTACAAAGTATGTAATTTTACATTTTAAGTAGTACATAATATTTAAATAAAAAAAATTCAAATCACAACCGACAATTAAGCGATTTTCTTTGACATGTAGGGTCCATCTAGTTCATAACCCATTTTACGGTAGTAGTTTCTGGTTCCAACACCAGATATTACTGCTAGCTTTGTGCTGCCGTGTTCTTCACGGGCTATTCTTTCAGCTTCTTCCATTAGCAGCATACCAAATCCCTGACAAATTAAGAATTGAGAATTAACAAAATACAATTAAAGTAACGTTTTTAATCACAAAACTTACTTGATGTTGGAACTTGGTGGGGTCCCTTGCGTTAACTGGTACCACAGATCCATACACATGTAATTCTCGGACTATCGAACATTGACCTTCTTTTAACTCCGGCCTAAATGTTTCTGGTGAACATTTACGTAAACGTAAAAGCCCCACGAGTATGTCTTGCGTCGGATCCTCATATGATAGGAAAGTTTCCCAACCACCATTGGCCACATAATCCCGACGAATTAGTTCGATTTCGTACGGACGCACTTTGTTGTGGATTTCTTGAATGCCGACCTCTCTGGTACGCACATCTCGACATTCAGTGCCTAGATCTTTCATGCGAGCCAAAGCCAATTCTCGTAAATTGCCATGTTCAACTCCAGAGCTGTGAAAAGTAACCATGCAACCAAATTGTCTGTGACATTTCTAATGCCGTTAACTTACCTGACTAATGGCATAGGAATATCGCGCTGTACACGATATACACGCGTCCATGGTGGAACCAAAGCTAATATCTTGGCAACCAAATCAACCAACATTGAAGGTGGATATGACTTATAACGGCCAGTCTTCCACAACTCGTACAATCCAGTACCACGAATTACCAATGTTGGGTAAATTTTTAGACCATCTGAACGGAAGGCTGGATTCTCAAAATATTCCTTTAAACAAACAAATTATTAGCTTCAAAATGTTTTGTAATTAATCATCCGTTTCACTTACAATAAACTGTTCAATATCCCGTTCAAAGTCGACATTTGGCAAATCAGGCATCATGTGGGTTACAATTTTATAGCCTGCATCCTTACCCAAATGAAAACTTTCACATACAGCCTTGACGGTGTGACCACGATTTGTATCCCTGGCCACATCTTCGTACACCGATTGAACACCAATTTCCAAACGTGTGCAACCGTAGGATAACATATCCGATATATGACGTTTTAGACAATAATCTGGCCTTGTTTCAATTGTAATACCAATACACTTGGTTCGTGATTTTTCCGAATAACGAACAGCTTCAGCAACATTAGCACTTGTGTGACCCGACAAGGCATCGTGTAAGTTTCGTATGAAATAGTCACGATAATCCTCTGGCAAGCACATGAATGTGCCTCCCATAACAATGAACTCCACCTTATCAACGGAGTGCCCCAACTGTTTTAACTGTTCCACGCGATGTCTTGTTTGCAAAAATGGATTGTAGCGAGCTCGTATGGCACGCATAGATGTTGGCTCATAGCCTGTATACGATTGTGTCGAATACTCAAAATCACTGTCTGGGCCACCTGGGCAGTAAACACAAATATTGCCGGTCATATTGATATGGGGACAACGATGAGGTTTACACATTACAGCAACCACGGCAATCTACGGCAACAACAAAAAATGTCCTTATGTATGTCAAATGTTTACATTCTTGTTGCATACTTACACCACTAGCTGTTCTTATGGGCTTGGCCCTCAATTTAGGTAACAGAATTTTCTTGGCTTCTTGTGGCACTGCTGCAATAATATCAACCAAACGCGGAGAGCTTTCCAAACCATATTTGGATGATATTCGAGATTTCATGCGATTTAGATTAACATCCTTTTTATCTTCGTGTGCCTGTAACAGCTCCTGTATTATTTCACCAATAACGATAACCTGTCGCTCTTCTCGGCTCAATCCAACACCTGTTAAAGATGGTGGAACTTGTAAAATACTCGTTTATAACAAAATACACTGCGAAAGACATACCTAACTTCTTTTTCGGCTTCATTTTTGTAAATTAAAAGGACTTTTTCTTAAAGAACACACGTGTGTTCACAACAAACCGTTTGTTTTGTTTTCGTTAGTTGTCAAAAGCAGCTGATATATTTAGGGCTATATAGATGTTATTACAACAAATATATACAACTCTGCTTTAATTGGCTAGGCCAATTTAAAAAAGCTGTGTTCCAGAACTAAACATTTTCTACCATGGTACAATAAAAATACATGTTAGAGCTACCAACTGATTAAATTTGTTTTCTGAATGTCTACCAATCTTTTTGTCTATATTTATATTTTAAAAATTTCAATTACAGTAAAAATAAATGAAAATAAAAACCATAAATTAGCAATATCTTGAATGGAACTTCGGGGGTGCTCCACAAGATTGAATCTAAAATAGGACGACAATACAGTTTTGTCCCAAAATTGTACAATGTGTTGCCCATTATTGTCGATAGTATACATTTATCTTGTAACTAATTTCAAATTTTTGTATTTTTTATTCAAAAAATACACACACATACACAAAATTTGTATATGTTTTTATAGAATAATGGCAAGTAAAGTAAAAATTGTAATTAGGGGGTAGCGTAAGATGAATGAAATACCTGGATGTTCTTTGAAAAATATGATCCTAAGTGTTCAATCTATGGTAAATCTGGTTAATTAAGTAATATTAGTTTCTTTCAATCATTGATTTTGAAAATATTTTGTTTTTATTTTTTTTTTTTTTTTTTTTTTGTACTTCATACGTTGTCAAGTGTGTTGGTGGAACACGAAGTGTTCATTCACCAGTGCTAGTTGTTGGTTACTTGAAACCATATAAAAGTACTCTCTTTATTTCTCTTCTTTTTACATGAGGATACATATGTGTTAGTGCATCTAAGTATACATGAATATACGTATAAACAAAGCTTTTGTTTTTTTTTTTTTTGAAAGGAGTGTAGCAAAACAAAACAAGAAAAGCAATATTTTGATTTTGACAGGATAAAAAGATTAATTGATTTCATAAAACAATTTTACATTTGCTAATGAAATTCAGGAGATCATCTATGAGTTGAAAATCTTTGGCCATGAGGACATCCGGTAAGTTATTGTGTGTTTTAAAAAGGTTGTGTTCATTTCTTTCTCTATTAAATTTCTTGCAGTGGAAGATAATGTGATTTTCATCCTCGATCACATTGCAGGTCTCGCATAAACTGGAGTTGGAAATACCAACACGGTGAAAATATTTTTTGGTATATGTATGTCCAGTAAAAAGTCTATTAATGATTTTTATGTTTTCAGGTTTCATGCTAGAGTTTTTATACCATGGTTGTTTGGGAGGATTTGGGAAGAAGCGGAAGAAATAAGATCCTTTGTGCAGAGAAGTTTCTTTGAAACGTTCAACAAAATCGTTCCAGAGATTTGCTTCAATCTTTTGGATTGCATCTGTGACCGAGAGTTCATATGGTATAACACATCCAGCTTCCGTAGCTTGTTTTGCATAGAAATCGGCAGTTTCATTTAAGGAAATTCCAACATGTGATGGAACCCAAATAAAAGTCACTTTGCATATAGATGAGTTATTAATTTTTTGTATTATGTTGTATGTGGTGTAATTGTTGGAGGAGTTATCTTGTAAAAGAAGACACGCATTTTTACTGTCTGTGAAGATCGCAGCCATGCTGATTCCGTCTTCAATTATTATATCTATAGCTTTTTCTATAGCTCGTAGTTCTCCAGCTAGAGAAGATAACTTTTCTTCGATTTTAAATAAGAAGTTCTGACTTGAGGATATGTTACAGACAGCGCATCCTGTGTTATTATTTGTTACCGAGGCATCTGTTGCCCAAATGGAAACCCCTTGAGATTTTAGCTCGTTAAACATTTTGCGAAAATGAGATTGTATGCACTCAGAAGCAACATCATTTTTTGAGAAATTAAAAATGTTTAGTTTTGTCTCAATTTTTGACGATTTTACGTTGTAACCAATTCTTGTTTTATCAAATATGTTTTTGAAATTGTTGTAGACGTATCCAATGCTCGTTTTCTGAGATGAGTTCGTTGTGAAGTAATCATATAGAGAAAGATTATAAATTTTTAATCTTAACAACTCTTTAGCCGCAAGCTGTTGGGCTCTTAAATCCGTTGGAAGAATACCAGCGAGAGCACATACAACATGATTTGGCGTTGATGGCACCAGTCCCAAGTTTCTTCTTAAAAGTTGATTTTGAAAAGAAGTTAATTTTTTATTTATGTATGCTGGTCTGTGAGCCATTGATGATATTGCATATTCTGTCTTGGAAAAAATCAGAGATTTACTTAAATTTACTGCTTTTGCTGGATGTAATCCTTTCTTTGGGCCAGTTACCATCTTTAGAGCGTTTAAAGTGTTTTTGCAAGATAGTATCACCTCATCGTAATGTTCTTTCAAGGACAGACTGTTTTTAATGTGTCTACCCAAAAATTTTATGGATGTTACAACTTTAACCTGGTTTCCATTGATCATGACATGAGGTTTCTTACGGCCTCCTTTGGCAACATACATAACAGCTGTTTTTTCTATATTGACGCTAAGGTTTAATTTCATAAGTAAGTTGACGAAATTACTTGCTTTTTTTTGTAAAATTCTATTTGCCAGATCAAAGTCGAAGTCGTGAACTAATAGAATGAAGTCATCAGCGTATTGAAAAAGATTAGTGTTCCCATCTGAAATACCATGCAGGCCTAGTGTGTATAAATTAAACAGAGTTGGGCTTAAACAACTTCCTTGAGGAATGCCATTGTAAATATTTAGCAGGGAGTTTCCCATTCTGAGTGTTCTTTTGCATAGAAAGTTTAGGATCCAAGTTCTGATTTGCTCGGGAATATCCAATTGTTGCAAGATCATTCGTAGACAGCTGATGTCTACACATTCATAGGCCTTAGATACATCCATTGATAGTATAACAACTTTCTCATTTCTTTCCTTGTGAAAGTTTATTGTGTGAAGAATGTCGTTGATGCATGTTGATGTAGATACGTGTTTCCTATAGGCATATGATCTATGTGGAAGCAATTTGTTATCATCCATATAGAGATTTAGGCGTTGCTTTACCATTAGATTTATTATTTTTGCAAAAACAGAAATCAAGGCAATTGGCCTGAAATTAGTTGGAATATCCAGATCTTTGTCTTTTTTGGGAATGGGCACAATTTTGATTTCTCTCCATTCATCAAGATAATTGCAGTTTCTCCATAATTTATTATATGCGACTAAAAGATGGTGTTTGGATTGTATGGAAAGATTATTTACCATTTCATATGTTATGCCATCCAGGCCAGCTGCAGATGGCTTCTTCTTCATATCAAGAACTTTTTGTAGCTCTGCAAATGAAAAAACATCGGATTTTTTTAAGTATTCGTCATTGAAAATATTTTGATTGTTATTTGGAACTTGGTCCTTCAAATGTTGTAGAAAGACGATATTGTTGTCGGAACACCACTTTGAATGAGTTTGATTTTCAAAAAAGGACTTACATCCCTTGATGTAGCGGAAAAGAGACTTTGAGTTTGAGATGGTGTTTAACTCATTGATTTTGGAAACTTGTGCAAGGGCTTTGGCTTTTTTAACGGCATTTCTGAAATTATTTTTAGCTTCTATAGCATTTAAGGCATTTTCAGTATTTTTATAGCTTTCGAACTTTTTCTCAGCGGCATCTTTGAGACGAAGTAATCTTTTTAGATCCTCGTTCCACCATGAATTGAATTTTGTTTTCGGTCCAATAGCAAAAGTAGAATTCTTTACTTGATGACTTAACTCTGATTGTATTGTATGCATATCCGTTCCTATATGAAGATTGCATATATTATTCAAAAGGTGTTTTTTTGCAAGAAAGGTTTTTTCTTTATGTTTAATATTACTAATATCTAGTAGTATTGGCTTATGATGACTACCACCGATAGTAATGTTTTGCACCTTCCATGTAAAATGGTATGCCGAGTTAGTAAAAGTGAGATCCAGGACAGAACCAGGAGAATTGTCATACAAATTTTTCTTGAAAGTTGCAGAACCATCATTAATGCATCGGAATATTGAACCATCAAACAAAGTTTTCACAGTCGAACCACGAACAGTGTCAAAGATATCTCCGTAATCTCTGCATCTTGCATTAAAATCTCCAGCTATGAACACGTTTGGTTTTCCTTCAAGCAGTGTAAAAAGTTTAGATAATTCTCTCTTTAAATGATTGGATTTAACAGAATGAGGAAAATATACTGATACGAAGGTGAAATTGGGGCATAGATTAGTGGTTTCACAGACCAAAATGTCCAAATCCGTATTGAAAGAGATTTTTTTCATAAAAATATTGTTCTTATGTAAAAAGGCTACACCACCATAATTATCGCTTCGTTTTTTGCAAATCAAATTGTAATTCCTTAGGAAAGAGTTGTTATTTTTTTCGTTGACATTAAAAATTTCACTTAGTATACAGATGTCCACTGATAAATTATTTATGTATAATTCGAGATAGTTTTTGTTTTTACTAAGACTTTGAATGTTGTACTGCAAAATTTTCATTGTTTTTATTTGGGGGAACTTCAGAGTTTCCTTCTGAAGCTATCTTTAGTGCACTTGCAAAACAGTTTAACATGTCTAATCCTTCACTGCAATTGGCCTCTGATAAAATAATTGCCATTTGATTTGTAAAAGATGATATCATTTTTTCATATTCCGTAACTTTAGAAAAATTTCTAAAATCATATGATGGTTTGCTGGGAGTTATATTTTCTTCGTCTCCTGTTACGTGGATCCGTTTCGGAACCGAAGATACCACTTTACTATATTTAGTTTTTGTTAATTTCCGATTTAGCTCCTCATCCAGTGATTTGCGTACAGGCTTAGTCATTGTAGAAATCAAAGGAAAATCGTTCTCATATTGTGGGTCATCAAAAATTGCATAATAATTGGGCTTGCTTTTGCGAATAATTTCATTTCTGGACAAATTTGAGATAGCCATAGCCTCCCTAATATTTTTTTCCTCGGTGTACTTGGGACATTTTTTTGATTCCATGGCATTATGTTTATCGTCGTTACATAAAATACATCTGGGCATAGAACAAAAGTTATTGCATTTAGTGGTTGAGAGACAAAAGTCGCATTTTAATTCGCCACAATTATTAGGACAATCTATCTTCCTTCCACAGTGAAGACATCTTTTATATGATCGACATCTAATTGCAATGTGGCCCAGGCGGCCGCAGTTTTTGCAAAGACGTGTAGGTGGGGTATACAATTCACATTCAGCTAAACAATTGAACATTCGTATTTGTTTTACCATGAAGTTCGCTACAATTCCTATTTTAATTGTTTGTGATGGGACGTATTGTCCATTTTCGTTCTTATAATTGAATCGGTATACAGACACCGCTTTAAAATCATTATCGCTGTTATTGATTTGATCTATGATCATTTTGCCGCTGAAAAAAGTAGGTACCGATTTTACAACATAAAATTTTTGCACAAATGTATCCGGTATAAATGCATTAAGGCCAATTTGCTTTACTTTCGAATCCAAAACAAAACTATTCGCTGAATCGCTGTTGTTGAAAGTTAAACGGAAAGTCTTGTATGCTATGTTTTTTGAAACAAAATGATAATTTATGTTTGCATTAGTTAGCTTTGCATATAAATGAAGCTCAGAATTTTTCCTCTTTGAGCTGATGGGTTCATCAGTCTTAACTAATACATAAAAAGGACCAGGATGCAGTTTGTTGTAGAGAATCTGTGTATTTTGATATGTTTTGTAGTTGTGAAAATCTTCTTGATTGGTGTTAGTTGTGGCCGCTATGGGAGTGGGATGGTTGGAGTGTGAGTTGTTGGGATGAATGGATTGTGAAATGATGGATTTATCGGTGTTGGCGCTATTGTTTGGATTATTGGGATTGGATCTATTTGTGTTGGAAATAATGGTATTGGGATAATTGGTAGTGGGGTTATTAGTATTTTTAGAAATAATTTCATTTGTATCATTGTTTTGATGACTGGTGTCTTCAGTAACTTGTGCAGCTGTAGATGTTGTTGGTGTTGGTGAACTCGTTTCCGAAACAAAAACCATTTTGTTTTTTATTGTTGTTGGTGTTTGAAGATTTTTAAACTTCTTGCTGTCCGGGTTACTTCCAGCCTCATATTTCCTCCTCGGCAAAAAACGAGGAGGTGGGTCCTCGTCATCCATCCGGTGAGTTGGAAAAACACTTTTCTTCAGAAAAAGAAATTGTTTCAATAATATAAAAAGAAACCAAAAAACGATTTGTTTTGTATGAAAATGTTACTGCAGTGTGTGTGTATGTGTGAGTAAACAAAAGACAAAGCAAAAAAGTCTTGGTTGCGACCGGCGCGAAAAAGTCTATCGTCAACAAAAGTTGAATAGCGACTGGTTTTTATTTTTTAAAACATTTAGAAAAAAATTGTAATCAGCTGGTACCTCTACCTTACCTTTTTATTGTACCATGGCTCTACCTACGTAATTGCGCCATGGGTATAATCACACCCGCTCTGTTCCAGTACCTTTAAGAATCTACTATGTTGGCAATTTTTTTCCGATAACAAAAACGTAAAATCGATTATTGTACATTCACTTTTGTATCGTCATACATAAACAGGCCTTAAGTGATTTATTTTACTTACATAACAAACTTTATATTTTCCAGACAAATAAATAAAAACACATCAAAGGTTTAAAAACAAAAACAATTCTTTCAAACGTGAATTTTTCCAAGTTCAGATAATTGCAAAAAAAAATAAGAAAAAGAGTAAAATGAGTCGAAAAGCAAAACAAACAGATTGCCACATCCAAAATAAATAAGTTTTAAAATTGCTTGCTCAAATATAAATCCCCAGGATGAGAAGAAGAAGGGTTGCAGTTGATTGCATGAAGAAACTTGTCCAGTAAGAATTGGCAAATTCTCAGTGAAATAACTGTAAAAATTTTGCAATACTTATGTTCTAATGCAAAAAATATAATAATGTCAGATGGCCTCTTGTCCTTCTGTGTATATTTACCGAAACTTTTATCGGGTCACCAGGCGTTGTGCTTCAGTTATCTTGTGTTGTGAAAGCGATCTATAAACCCCTTATCGCTATCTGTTGGTCTCTCCCTTGTTCTCGATCTATGGAGCTCTTAGGTCTGTAGGCCATTCTGTTTTGATTCTACATCTTTATTCCCCATTTTCTCATGTTTTATTTTTCGTTTAGCAATAGCAGAGATGCCATGTCTCTGTCGATGAGTCGTTCGTTCAGTGGTGGTCGTGGCGTTCTTGAGAAAAAAAAATAACAAAATAATTTTAATTAAAAAGGAAGAGTATGGCATTTTTTATGCCATCGAACAAATTGCATGAAAATATAGTTCAACATTTGGAAACTGGTGCCGCGTAATTTTATTTTTCAATCAATAAACAATTGGAGAATACAATCAATAGTTGTTGTCCTGAAAACAACAATAAGCAATGGCATCATCTTGTATGCCGGACCATCAAGTGCCACAGAACAATATGGACAATAATAATATGGATATATCCGATGACGATATGGTGAATTCCGATGATGAAGATCAAAGCAAGCCAGAACAGGAGCATCAGGAATTACATGATGGCCACTTCAATTTTCCTGTAATTGTGAAGATATCTTTTCAATGTTGGGAATGTTCTCTCTAATGGTTTCCTTTTTTTATAGAACAATGCTACATGTTGGGTTTGCAATGGTTATTATGGACCTAATTTCGGTGAGCCTCTGTGTGGAACATGCCATGCCTTTCTCTATAATACCGAGCCTACAGAAGAATTGGAGACGACAATATCGGATGATGAAGATTCGGGCAATGATGAGCCTCCGTTTAAGGACAAAACTGAAGAAAATGACGATGATGAAGATGTCGATGTTGACGTTGATGTCGATGATGATGTAGAAGAAGAAGATCCCGATAATGATGCTGTTGAAGAAGATGTCATGGATGACGTTGAATTGGAGGCCGAAAACGACATGTTGGAAGTACGGGAGGATCAGCCAGAATTGCCTTTGGACAATGAAGTTGTGGAGAGACCACAAGTAGACCTCGTACTTCCTGTTGAAAGACCACGACCATCGGCTCCTCGCTCTCTGCCGCAACTTATGGAACTATTGTCGGAGGCTAGAGCAAATGCAAATGAAGTGGGTGTTGGTGCAATTACACCATCTCTAAGACCCTCAAACCATATTCTATCATTTCCAGTGGAGATAATGGTCATTATATTTTCTTATCTCGATGATATGTCCATGTGGAAGGCAAGTGAAGTTTGTAAACAGTGGCACGACATTATTGCCCAAAATACTTCACAACAAATGTGGCGTAAATATTTTAAGGAACGCTGGCCATTGTTTCAAAATCTTGTGGAAATACAGGATTGGATGAAACTGTATGGAGCTCTGATGAGTTCTTGTTTTTGCCGAACATGTCTTTTACAGATGGCGCTAAAGACACCACCAAGAGGACGTCAAAGTGCCATTAGAGCAAATTTCCTTATAAATGATTTTCGACTTCTTAATAGTTATGCCACTGAGGGCATAGAGGCTATACCATTGGATAAACAGAATACATACTGGCAGGCCAGTATATTGGGACCTCCAGGCAGTCCATATGAGGGTGGTAAATTTTTCATATTTATTTTCTTTCCGGAAAGGTAAAATTATACATTTCTTTAGAGTATTTGAACCATTCAACTAGGTTTTACTCATTCAATTGCAGATACCCCATGATTCCGCCTACAGTACGCTTTCTTACCAAAATTTTACATCCAAATGTTTCGCGGCACGGTGATGTTGGCATAGATATTTTCCAGCATAAATGGTCATTGGCATTGAATGTTTCCAAAGTTCTGCTCTCTGTACAAAGTTTGCTTACAGATCCTTATACAGAGGTAAATATATTTTCCCCTCAACTATCAAAATTTTTTTTTCAATCTCTGCAATAATGCTTTTAGGTTTGCATGGAACCAGACCTTGGCTATATGTATGAACACAATCGCTGCCGTTTTGAATCTTTAGCTCGTTCTTGGACGTGGAAATATGCCATGTTCGAACTAATTCCGCCACGTTAATATATTCAACTGTAGTATATAAAAAAAAAATAATTGGTTTGCTACTCCTGCTCCCAATTTTGTTTGTATTCCTTAAGCTTTAAAAGTATATTAACAAAAACAAAAAATACTAATGTAAGATTCCTTAATCTTTTCTCTTATATAATTTTTAAAAGTTAAACTTTTAACTATGACTTAGTAGTTACTATTAGTATTCATCTATTTGTTTAAGCTTGTATTAACATGTAAGTTAGTTTTCCACACTTCTCATTTTTCTTGATATGCTGTGCCATTTATTTCGGTTCCCAAAATTTATTTTCACAAATTTATTGCATTGTTAATTGAATTTCATCATTTATTTCTAAGTCCCATTCAAAAGTAAATTAGACATTTAAATTTATTAAATAATTTTTGCACAATGAAAATATCTCAAATAAATATTAACAACAATATAATTAAAAGTAAATAAAATAAACTATATGTTGAAAGCTTATTGAATATTTATTTAAATGTCTTGGTTACAGACAGTATTTTCTGGGATATGTAGGACCTTGAATTGCCATGACTCATATTTTAATGCAATGTTTCTTGAAGTAATCCAAAACCCTATACATTTACAAAGCTCTATATTTATTATTGCAGAATATAAGGTCGGCCAGTAAGCCCATCTGACAACTAATTTTGCTGTCAAAAGACATAATTGTGATTTGAAATTCAAATAAAGTCAAATCAAAGTAATAAAAAACTATTAAGTTTTGCTTCGTTAAAGAATTGTTTAAATACGCAACACGTCTTGGGTAATAATAAAATACTTGCATTTACGTATTATTTACATTACATTTTAAATAGTCGTACCTCACATAAAATTCGAAATGATTTCCCTGAAACGTTACTTATTTACTTATTTCAATATTTCTATTACCATTAGACATAAAAGGTGGGACATATCGGTAACAATTTCCGAAAAAAAGTCAAATATATCAAAGAAATCGACAATAGTATAGTAATATTTATACCAGACTTAGGTAAGGCGCGCAAAATGACAACATCGCCCAAATACTTCTAGGCAAGTTTTAGAAAAATCATAACTTCTAGAATGGCAAAATTATACCAGGTAATCTTATGCTAACATACGATATACTATTTATACCCTACAACACTATGTCTTGGGGGTATTATAAGTTTGATTGAGGCCAAAAATTATGTAACACCTCGAAATATTCGTTTCCCACAAAAGAAAGTATATATGGATCTTCCTATCTCTCCCAGCTGAGTCGATCTAGCTATGTATGTCCGTCCGTCCGTCTGTCCATGTTAATTTGTAATCACTCTACACGTCGCAATTATAGCCCGATCTTCACGAAATTTAGAATGGAGGTACGGCTAGGGTCAGAATAGAACCCTATTTCTTTTGGAGATGGTCGCGTAATATTTAGGGGTTGAAATGAATAATAAATCCTGATTTTTCAGTTGCTCTACAGGTCGCAATTATAGACCAATCAAAGCGGAAGTTAGCATGGGGCTAGAGCTTAGGGCTGGGCAGAAGCCTTCCAATTTTGATGGTCATCAGGTAATATTTAGTGGGTGAAATAGGTCACAGCATTTGTGTTAAATAAAAGTCAAATTTTCCATTAAACCGCGAATATTTTTAATCCCGACGAAATCACAAATAGACGAACAGGTCAATTCTGACCGTTACATAGATGCCGATAGTAAATATATCGGTTATATATAGCGAAATATATACAATGTGTATATACAAAGGAAGGGGATGTTAGTTAGAATGCTTATATCTCAAGAATGACTGGACCGATTTTGACAAATTTTGTCAATTCAGAATGTCCTCTTGACATAAAGGTATAAAATCTAAAAAATCGCAGAAAAATATGCCAATAAACATGTTAATATAGATTTTGTAGTATTTTGTGACATTTTTTTATTTTTTCATATTTTTATCGCATGCGATTTTTTCAATTTGACTTATAATATTTTGTAATATTTTTTCACCTTACAACACAGATTGGGGATATTATATAAGTATTGCAAATATCGTCCGATCCTCACGAAAATTTTCACAAGGGCAGGTTTGGGCTCAGAAGGATATCCGCAATATATTAGGGGGTTGAAATGGAACAACAACTAAAAATTTTCCTGATTTGACCGTAATAAAAGTCACAAAAGAAACCAAAGGACACGAAATCTCGCATAAAGTTAGAGTTAGGACAGCGGGTACAATGGACCACTAATTTTGTGTGAAAAATACCATCATTACTTACAGGCGATATCTGAAATAAACAAAAGGCGAATTTCTGGCTTTTTCATGCTGATTTTGTTGACGAATAATATAGCCAAATATCGTAGACAAGCAAATCTAAATTTGGAGATACAGAGGGGCTTCTTGCTTTTGGAGATGATTGCAAAATATTTAGGAGTTCAAATTAACCAAAAACAGAAATGTTTTTCCGATCACACAATTGAAGCCAATTGACACGCCTGTGAAGAGAGTTAAAGACAGGGAAGAATTCTAGCATTTTGGATGACCATTGGATTATATTTATCTGTAAATGTTGGGCAAATGTCCCTAGTCAAAATCCTAATTTCAAAAGTGAAATCTTCCAATATGGATTTGGACATAAGGGGGCTTCTAACATATTGTAGCGTTGTAGGGTATAACATAGTCGGCCCCGCACGACTATAGCCTTTTCTTACTTATTTTATTTATTATTTATAATATTTCAAAAATATTGCGAAACGTGGACCTATGCATATAATGTTCCACCACCGGAGTTAAAACCCATTATGACCTATAAATGCTAATTTTCAGATCAATCCATGGAAAAATGTGGCAAAAATCATTAAAATATGGAGTATCGGGAGGAACCGTTATATGGGGGCTAAACGAAAACGTGGACTTATACATAAAATATGTATTCCGCCACCGCTGCTAGAACCCATTATGATCTACAAATACAAATTTTTACACAAATCCATGAAAAATGTCGCGAAAATCATCAAAAGACAGAATATCGAGTGGTACCGTTATATGACGGCTTTACCAAAACGTGGATTAATATATCTCATTTTCAATACCAACCATCCTATACAATACAAATTGTTGTGCCAACAGGCAGACGGACGGACATCGTTAAATCAACTTAGAATTTTATGCTGTTACAAACGGAATGGCAAAGTTAGTATAAGGAGGGTATAAAAATGAAAACTTTCTTCTTCGAAATTTAGGTAAAGCAATACAACTGAAACTACATACTTCCCCGAAATAATCGTAGCGTCAATTACATTTCTGTGCAGTTTATTTTACTGTTAGCCTAATACCATTGTAAAGGCGTGGTGGGTCTATGTTTCTTAGTAAAATAATATCCGAATCTGAACTGATTTCAGTAAATTTGTCACTCATTTCGAATTTAGTTAGAGTCAGACATACACTGGTGGCCAAAACTAAAGCAACTGAAATTACAAGGAGAATAAATGCCCTGTAACTTTTTTAAAAATTAAGAAAATGAGAAAGTTTTTCTTGTTTTAAATTATGTACCTTATTCACTTTTTAAAAACCTAAAACAAAAAACCAAAATTCATTTTTGTATAAAAAATAATGTTTGGTAAAGTCAATTACCCCGATTTTGGCTTGGACAAAACTAAAGCAACTATGTTGTACATTCATATAACTGCTGCAATTTCAGTGGTTTTTACTGTGATATTTATCGCTTTTTGCTTTCTTCGACAATATCGCTTGTCATAAATCCTTTTTGAGAAGTTTTTTTGCAACAGCATGTGTTTTTCTTTTCGTTTTTAAGTACTGGCCAAAAAAAGTTTAAAAATGGCTAGAAGCAAATACCGTACATGAATAAAACAGCATATTATCAGTAACTATGAAAACAACATATCACAAAAAATGATTTCCGAGAAATATTTCATAAATATTTCTGTGATTTCATAATTATTTCTGTATACTAAGTCGGTTTTTTGAAACTGGATTAGTAGTAACAGTCTATAACGGATGAAGGCCGTGAAAAACTTCAGCCCATACTGATCCAAAGATTGTGAGAGAAATAAAAAAAAACAACCATTTAAGAGTTCAACTGGATTGGTGAGAGAACAATCATTGGATATAAGCTCGAGATCAGTGCGTAGACGAGTAGTGGCAGCTGGTCTGCATGCCCGTAAGACATAAAATTAAAGATATAAAAGCCATTTATATCTGAAAAAATCAAAAAGTCTTTCGGAAACGACAATATTAAGTGGAATCAAGCTCAATGAAAAAACATTATTTCGGGGATGAGTATACGTTTAATATTAAAGGCTCAGACGTGAAAAATTTTACGGTGAGAAGACCAAAAAATGAAGTACTCAAGCCGCAGTGTTGCAAAGGTACAGTGAAGCATGAGGGAGGGTCAAAAATGGCGTGGCGCTGTTTTTCTTTCTATGGACTTGGGCCTATCCATGAAATAAAGGAAGTAATGTATCGGTTTGTTTACAAAGATGTGTTGGACATCACGTTGTTCCCTTACGCTGAGTAAAATATTCATCTCATTTGGGTGTTTCAGCAAGACAATGATCCCAAACTTGCATCAAAACATGTCAAATATTTGTTACGGGAGTCAAAAATCGATGTTTTATCATGGCCGGCACAATCACCTGACCTAAACTCCATAGAAAACCTATGGAGTATCGTAGATAGGAAGATCAAGCGAGATTCGAAAACAAATAAGCACAACATTTTCTAAATAATTCGGGGTGCCTGGGAAAGCATACCCAAGGATCAAATTGAGCGGTTTATAGATTCAATGTCTCGTAGGTGTGCAGCTGCTATCAAATATAATGGATGCTATCGACTATTAGCCTAAATTTAATTATTTTAAAATAAAAAATCAAAAAGTTGCTTTAGTTTTGACCAAGCAAAAATTGGTCATTTTAGTTTTCCATATATTATTATACCCTCCACCATACTATGGAGGGTATATTAACTTTGTCATTCCGTTTGTAACTCCTCGAAATACTCATATCAGACCCAACAAAGTATATATATTCTTGATCAGCGTAAAATTCTAAGTCGATTTAGCGATGTCCGTCTGTCTGTCTGTCTGTCCGTCTGTCTGTCTGTCTGTTGTAATCACGCTATCTTTCGAATGAATTGAGATAGGTGGCTAAAATTTTGCACACATGTTTATTTTTCCAGTAGGCAGGTTAAGTTCGTAAATGGGCTATGTAGGTCCACGTTTTCATATAGCCCCCATATAACGGTACCTCCCTATATTCGGTATTTTGATGATTTTAGCGACATTATTCACGGGAATTGTTTCAAATTTGGTATTTGAAGTTCAAAATGGATACTACACCCTAAGACGGAAAATTATCCGTGCAGGTCCACGTCTTCGTATAGCCCCCATATAACGGTTCCTCCCGATATTCGGTATTTTGATGATTTTATCGACATTATTCACGGGAATTGTTTCAAATTTGGTATTTGAAGTTCAAAATGGATACTACACCCTAAGACAGAAAATTGTCTGTGCAGGTCCACGTCTTCATATAGCCCCCATATAACGGTACCTCCCTATATTCGGTATTTTGATGATTTTAGCGACATTATTCACCGGAATTGTTTTAAAATTGGTATTTGAAGTTCGTTATGGGAACTACAGTCTGTGACAGAAAATTGTCTGTGCGGGGCCAGGTCTTCGGATAGCCCCCATATAACGGTACCTCCCTATATTCGGTATTTTGATGATTTTAGCTACATTATTCACCGTTTATTTCAAGTTTCAAATTTGAATATGGTAATGGCTTATGAGAAACAATGCCTATGTATGCCCACGTCGTATAGACCCCAAAATAACGGCTATATTCGGTATTTTCAAAATTTTAACAGAATTTTTTAAGGATTTTATTTTTTGAAAATTTCCAAATTCGTTGCAAATGGTGGAGGGTATTAAAAGTTCGGCCCGGCCGAACTTACTGCTTTTTAACTTGTTTTTCGTTCAAAATTATTTTTGTATTTTTATTTTTAGTTTCTTAAAAGTGAATTAAAGACTCCTTTTAAAACTGGAAAAATAGTTACGATTTGTTTATTTTTGTAAAAGTTACAGGACATTTATTGTCTTTGCGATTTTAGTTGCTTTAGTTTTGGCCACCAGTGTACATATCGTGTTTGGTGCATAAAATTGTGAAATCGGCTGGCTCGGACTTTCAGATGATGCTGTAGTGTATGTGAAAAATTTCAGGAAAATGTGTTCATCAGTTTTTGCGTCTGTAAATTACAAACAATCAAACTTATATATAGATATGTTATAATCAAAGATAGATATATATATGTGATAATTTTTTGGAAAATATTGAAATATGCGTGAGGTACCAGATATATTGGACGAAAGCATTCCGCTTTATCTAATAGTGATAAAGACATTGCGACTTGCAACATTTAAAGCAAATCAAACATCTATAACAGATTTAGTGGGAATAAATGTTAATCATAATTTTGACCTCTTGTGGGGGAGGTACCTGAAGGTGTAAGCTAATAAATTTCATATTCACATCAGGTGTCTTATTTGACAGAAACATAAGGATATACCAAGTTTGTTTGGTAAGTGATGAGAGATGTTAATATCTCCAATTTGACCCTTTGTGGGAAAGGTTTCAGAAAGGCTGGGCCAATATCTAACATCTTCACTCCAGATCTTGTTTTATCAAAAATTTTGGGATATATGACATTTGAGGAGAATCGGATGTTTATTTCTTATCTTATGGGAGAAGTAATTATTTAAAATTTAAATCCCTTTGTGAGAAAGGTACCAGAAGGTATGGTCCGATATATTCCATCTTCACACCTGATCTTGTGTTGATGGATATATTGGTATATGTGATATTTAAATAGAGAATCGGATACTTATTTATCATTTTATGAGAGATAAAAGTATTCAAAATTTTGACCCGTGGGAAAGGTACCAGAAGGTATGGTCCGATATATTCCATCTTCACACCTGATCTTATGTTGATGGATATATTGGTATATATGATATTTGAAGAGAATCGACTACTTTTTCTCATTTTATGAGATATAAAATATTCAAAATTTTGACCCGTTGTGGTCTAGATGGATTGGTCCGACATATTCCATCTTCACACATGATATTATGTTGATAGAAATATTGGAATGCGCCGAGTTTGAAAATAATCGGATGCTCATTTCGCGTTTTGTGAGCTTCATGGCTATATGGAGTGAACCGATATATCGCATCCTCACACCAGATCTTGTGCTACTAGAAATATTCGGATATGTGAAATTTGAAGACAATCAGACGCTTATTTCACATTTTGCACAATTTCTGATTATTCAAAATGTTGACCCTTTGTGGTGGAGGTACTTTATGGAGTGGACTGAAATTGTCCAGTTGACCTAGCATTAATACAAATATTAGGATTTGCAAACAAGATTGAACGATCCTTTCTTTTTCTATGGCGTAAATTGTTTTCTATGAAAATATTGACCTTTTGTGGGGGACATACCATTAGGATTGGATCGATATTGCCCATCTCCAGACTCAATTTAAATTTGCCAATTATATTATGATGTACAAAGTTTGGATCACATCGAATGCTCCTTTCGAGAGTTATCGTGCGCACCAGCCAGCCAGACAAACAGATAGACGGATGGACGGACACCCCTAGATCGCCTTCAAATGTCCTGAAACGGATTTGGTCCAAAGACACGTAGGGTCTAAAACAGTCATTTCGATAAGGCACATGTTGTTCGTATCAAATGATATATAACCTCTGTTATGGGGTTAAGTTTAAAAGTATTAGAAAACAACAAAAAACACAGAATTTAATTTTTTCAATAAAAAATCCAGAGAGATTATGAAAGGAGAACTACCAATAGAAGACACGTTTTCAAACATTTATTGGAATTTTCGTATTATTAACGTATTACGCAGAATCTGTTGATTTTAAGTATAAACTGCCTTCGGCAGATAAGAATACGAGGATTATTTTTACACTTCATGCGATCCAACCAAGTTGTATATTTGGTTATGGTTAAAAACTTTAAACACTTATTGCGTGGCTTTTGGCAATTGCCGGCGCTTGAGTTCTGGTGGCCAACCGAAGTTTCATATTTTCAGCTGACCTCTTTGGCAAGTAAACACGGTCATTTTGTTGGTTTACAAACTGCTGGACAAAGAATATTATTCTCATCGGAGAAAACCAAATTCGACAGTTCACCACTTTCGACCAAGCGAAGCAACTATTTAGGTCTATTGAGTCTATTTTCTTTCTGTTGCGGATTAAGTCCTTTCAGCTCACGGTTTCGATGAAGTCGCTTCTTTACTTTTCGAACCAATTCTGCTGATGTTGCTGTTTTCTTCCGTCCACTTACTTGACGTCGGTCTACGCTACCCATATCACGGTAATGAGCGATGGTACGACACTCAAAAGATTTGCTTACATTTAAATGCTGGAGTGTTCTAACGATAGCCACTTGTGTTTTTCCAGCCAAATATAAAGAAATCCCACTATCACGCTTGAATTCCATCACGAATAATATTTTTTCAGGAAAATTCTCACCAGAATGCTTTTGTACGCCTGTAAACAATATAATGATCTGTCATTGTCGGGCGAGTGGATTAGAAATGACAACAGTCTGAACAGTCACTTTCTGCCCTGAACGACATTCCACGTTTTCGTATAATGCCATATAACAGTACCCCACAAAATTCGGTATTTAACTGGATTTTTCAACAAAATTTTTTGAAATTCTGCATTGTAAGTTCCCAGTGACAGGAATACTGGATCTCGGTACTCTCAAAATTATTATGTTCTCCTACCGAACTTAACTTCTTTTCACCCGCATAAGATTCATTTAATACTCATAACATATATTGGGCGCCAAATAACATTTGATGCAGAAGTTATCATTTCTTCAACTTTCACTGTAATAATAAAACACCTGCTGCTAACCGGAGATAGCTTTTAGCAAAAGCTCCATAAACAATGAGCATAAAGCTTACACTCTTCGCAGAAAATCAGCTGCTGGGAAAATTCTAAAGCGAATTGAATGCTCTCTCCTGGAAAAACCATGATGCCATTCAGGCACACACACGCACACCAACAGACATACACATGGAAAAACACACAGGTAGATAGACATGAAAACAAAATAAGCATAATCAGTACGAATTTGAACTTACATTGAATAGCGTCGTGTGGGTTAAAACGAATCAAAGAAAAGTGAATGTTTAACTACTCTTTTTTATGGTTGAAAATTTATTTAAAAGTGTAACTGAAAAAATTGTTTTAATAAAAAAAAATTGAGAAATAATAATAAAAAGTGAAAAATTAATGGCGTTTGCGAGTTGCAAAAATCAAATGTGCAAAATATTAAACGATTGAAAACGCGTCTCGGTTTCCAGTTTTCCTGTTCGTTTTTGGTACCTTTTGAAAAGGCAAAGGTGAAATTTCTGATACATTTCTTCTTGTTGCGCTCGGGTCTTTTGTTATGACGAAATTCACCACACTGAATTATGATTTTTTGATGGAAACTGGCTGTGCCACCTGATTCCTTTTCTCCAACCCCCCAAAATCACCTGCTCTTCTCTTCTCCGCGCCCCCCTTGTCAGTGGGTTTCAACCAATGCCAATTAGCAGTGATATGTGCGCTGATGTGTTTGTTTAGTTCTTACTTTCAAAAGTGTCAGTAGTTGCGAGAGATGTGGTGTTATTAGGTGTCTCTATCGTGTGTGTCTGTGTATTTTTTAAATATTAAAAATAAAAAAATATAAAAATGTGAAAAATATTCAAAAATATTCTTGTTAAGAAAAGTTACTAAAGAAAAAGAAAAGAAAACAAGAAAAAATAAATTCTATCCCCAAAAAAGTTAAATATCACAGTGCAAATAGTGTAACCTTAACATTTCATTTAATTAATTTATTCAACAGTTATTTGAATTCTGCCCCTCTCAACGTTTTATGGTTCCTGCCCGCTGCAATGGTATGCTGCTGTGGTTCTCTTCTGAATAATTAAACACACTTATATACCCATAAAGTTACAGTCATCTTTTACCTTTAACCATTACACCTATCACTGTAACAAAGTTTACATGTGTAGCTACTCTGCCATTCTCGCGCGCTCTCCCTCTCTCCCTCTCCCATCCATTCTTATAACCAACAAGTAACTAAAGCTTTCGGTTGCAACAAAAAGGTATGTTGCTTTTTCTAATACATTTTCACCTCAGTAGCTTTTTTACATCCTCTCTTACTCTCACTTTCACACGTCCTCTCTCTCTCGGTCACTTAACTCTTCTGCCAATTCTGTAATACATGTTCGCGAGACAAAGCACAAGGACTCTGGCTGGATAAATCCTCGTAGCATTTAGTTGGAGGGTTTCTTAAGGCACGAACATGTTTGTGGCAAATATTTATTTTATATTTCATTCGCTGTGTGCCAGTGCGAATGTATGTGTGTTTGTTTATGAATTTTGGTATGCGTATGTGTTTATAGTTTGGTGTAGTTTTTTTTCTTCTTCTTCCTTTTTACTAAAGCCGTTTTATTATAGTGAACGAACGAACGCAGAGGTCACCTATAGAGAACACACACAGTGTCAAATTTGTTTGAATAGGACAAAATTTGGTCCAGGTTGGGCGTATTTGGATATATCAGCAATACCTAACCACCCTCATCAAATAAATTCGAATCAATTCAAAGGTCAAGAGTTAAGATTTCAGAAGAAATAAGTGAAAAACGCGTTAGGTTCGGCAGGGTTGAAGTTTTAGAGGGAGTATCTACAGGGTGAGATAAAAAACTGCAACAAAGTCAAACGCCATAATTTTTAATTTTTTTTTTAAATTTTATTGAATGAAAGCAAAAATGTCGGAAATAGCATCAAATTTTAGAATAAGTTTAGATTTGTTCGAATTGGTCACCTTGGCTCGAATTATGGTCTTCAAACGGCCAATGAAACCGTCACATGCTGCCCGAATGTTGCTCTGCGGTATTTTGGCCTATTCCCGGCGAAGCGCTTGCTTGAGGTGATCGACACTTTGGTATTTTTAGTGCCAACCTTTCTTCCCAAAGTACTCCAGACACAATAGTCCAACGGATTGATATCTGGAGATTTCGGTGGGCATTGTGCGCTAAAAATGAAGCGAGGAACCTCATGTTGTAACCATTCTTGGGTGGCGCACTGAGTGCGATGGTGCTGAGTCCTGTTGGAATATCCAAGGTCCGCTGCAGTTTTTCATCTCACCCTGTATACATGGCATCTTCGCATTTTACTTAATTTTGATATATTTACGAAGTTTGAAGGAAGTTGGGTAGAAAGTATCACTTGGTCCGAACATAGGACTAAACATAAATCTGCTTTTGCTTGGACTCCCTTTTATGAATTTCTCAAAATCTTTAACGCTTTTTGGGTATTTATCAGAAGAAGTTGCCCGATATATAACATTTTCACACTAGATCTTATATTAATGAAAATGTGCAAAGTTTAAAGGAAATCAGACACTTATTCTACTATTTTGCGGAGATACTTTTCTAAATAACGTGTACTTTTTGTGGCATAATTACAAGAAGGATTGGACTTTAATTCTCGATCTATTGTTAGCAAAAATGGGCGAAATTTAAGAAAAGTTGGAGAATTATTTCTCATTTTATAGAAGTTATATAAAATGCTAAGCTTTGATGGGGAGGTATCCATATTCACATCAGATCCCTGATAAAAAATAATAAGACATACCAAGTGTGAAAAAAATCGTTGACTTGTTTCGCAAGCTATGAGATATATAAGAATTCAAAATTGTGATCCTTTGTGGGGGTAGTACCAGAAGGGTTGGGTCGGTATCTATTATCTTTACATCAGATATTGTGTATGCTTATTTCGCATTTTATGAGAGATAATATTATTTAAAATTTTGAAATCGTATGTTTTAAAGAAAATCCAGGCATTTCATTCATATTTCGGGAAAATATTTTATTATTTTAACAAGGGGATGTTGTCAAACGAATAATTTTGAAAAAATGCAAAACGTATCTAAGCGTGACTTTACTTGGTTGGAATATTTGCATTTTATACGTTAGGAGAATATTTGCAGTGATAAAGTTCAAATTTGTTGTATGCGGGGGGTTTGACTTTTTGTCACGGCTTAGGACAACTGTGCATTGCCTAAAATACTAGGATGCACTAGAGTTGTGTCAGTCTAGTTCATAGTTCAGTACACCAGTTCCTAAACGTATGAGTGATTTCATTTCTACTCATACGCAGAGTTTTCGGAGTCCACGGAATGGCATCTTTTAATACCCTCAGCCATATGGCTAGAGGGTATACATCATTTGAATCGGTCAAAACTTTCCTCATAGAAATAACGGTTTTCTTTGGACCAAATCAGTTTCAGGACATTTGAGGTGTACGTCCGTTCGTCTGTCTGGCTGGCTGGTGCGTACGAAGAGATTATCCAATTTGGTCCAAACTTAGTACATCGTAATATTGTTTTCAAACTTAGATCGAGTTCGGAGATGGGCGATTCATTCCCACTTCTGGTAACTCCCCCATAAAAGGTCGAAATTTTCAAAAAAGAAATTTCTTGCACAGAAAGATAAAGGATAATCCGAGTTTGCTTCAACTTTGCAAATCCTAATATTTGCATTAGTCCAAGATGAGGTGCGAAAATAGACAATATCGGTTCACTCCATTAACTACCTCCCCCAAAATAGGTTAAAATTTTGAATAATTTCTTATTAACTTTATTTTGGCTTAAGGTCAATTGAAAACATCAGTGTTTTATTTTTATAATTTTGAGACGTCGGTGAAACAAGACTGTTGCTTTTCTCAATAAAAATTTTTGCCTGAAGATGAGTGTCGAAGACAGTCGAAATGTCGGAAAATTAAAATATATAAATATATATATACTTAAATATATATATACTTATATCTGGCATAACTTGCTATATATATATATATATATATATATATATATATATATATATATATATATATATATAATTCTAATAAACTGTGACATAAGAGTCAGATTGTCTGCAAATTTCGCAAATCACAATATTTTTAATAATCCAAGATCTGGTGTGAAGGTGGGATATATCGGTTCACTCCTTCTGGTACCTCCCCCGTAAAGAGTAAAAATTTTGAATATCCGTGAAGCTCATAAAACAAACAACGGCACATCTCAATATTTCTATTAAACAAAGATCTCCTATAACAATGGTATAAATCGAACCATTCCTTCTGGTACCGCCCCCACAAAGGGTCCAAATTTTGAATAACCAAAACGAGTAACCAAAATCCGAAACAAGCATCAGGTTCTCTTCAAGTTTTTTATTCGTTGTGATGATGGAATACATCGGCTAACTCCTTCTGGTACCTCCCCTACAAAGGGCTCAACATTTTGAAATACAAAACGAGAAATAAGCATCCAACTCTCTTCACAAAAACTTCACACATTTTTGCTACCGGAAGATATGTTGTGAAGATGATGGATATCTGCCAACCCCTTCTGGTACCTCACCCACAAAGGGTCACAATTTCCAACACTTATATCTGGCATAACTTGCTATGTAATCAGGCGTAATTTGTCACAATTTTGTGATTCTCTATTCATTTCTATTTTCTATTCATTGTCTTTGACAACATCTCATTGTCGTCGATAAATCCATCCTGTATGTATATTATTAGAACTTGGAACCTGTTTTCAATGAAGAAAAATTTGACAAAGTAAATTACAGGAAATTAAGAGCTGATTATCCTTATCTGAAATTAGAATATCTTAAAATTAGTACCATGAGCATATACATGGTACAATAACAAGGGGTAAAATAAAGTCATCTCTTAAAAACAGTTCTAGTTAATACCTCAGCCGGAGAAGGAGATCCAACCTATTTATCTAAATTATTTACATAGTGTTAAGGGTAGACCCTATCAACCTATAGATTTTAAGAATGAAATTTCTATGCAAATTGCAAAGTTTTTTTTTATGGGCGAAAGAGAACAATCTCAATGCAACAAATCAAAATGCAAAATGGTTTTTGAGCCATTCTTATGTTGTTAATGTATCAAAAGAGCAAAAAACCTAAGTTATGCACAATTACAATGTTGTCATAATTTGTGTTTACTTTGTACTACAAATGAATTTAATTGTTGAATTATGTCGATTTGTTCCTTTTCAAAAAATGATTTTTTTTTGTGGTTTCGTTAATTTTCCATTGTTTATTTTAGCATTAATAATTGAGTTGAATATTTAAATAGTTGACAAATTATCATAAGCATATAAAATGGAAGTAGAAGGAAAAATTTGAAAATTCATTCAACTTCCATTCCTAGCTGACATTTTCTCTAATCCAGAAGCTGCAATTTTGTTTCATGTCAGAAAAAACTAATCGGTTATCATAGTAGCATTTTGTACATTATTACAGTTCTGGAACAGAGCATGTGGTGTGCGCCTTAAAAAGGGGTAACTATGAAAATAATTGATAGCTAGAAGAAGAAGAATGTTGCCAACCATTATTAGGGAACAGCTGATTATTCCAATGACTTAAATGTCAATAAGGGGGAATAATTTAAAAAGAAAATGGAAAAATTAAACGAGGAAAATGGCAGCCAGAATTTCCTGGCAGAAATTGTAAGAAAATTCTTTCCTTTTTATCTCATCAGCGAAGAAGATTGGATGCGTGGCTCCCAGCTCCCAGCGAAGTACAACACCCGGCATTTTTTGGCGATAAGTTCCATAAGTAAAAGGAATTACATTTATTAATTTGATGTGTTCAACAAAATAAATGAAAAGAATACAAAATCCAAACATTTTTTTAGCTAAAAAGGCTTTAAACAATCTTAACACAAAATATAAAATTTAAAAAGCTAAAATGTGAACATTTAAGAACTAAACCTGAAAGTATTCTTAATAATTATACGAAAACTAAATAAACATCTTAAAGTTTGGCAAAATTTTAAACAAAAAGGAAAGACTTGAAACTGAATTAAGTTT